AACCCTTATTTTTATGATCAACAACTCAAATAATTCTTAAATGAGATTATTTTTTTTATATTTCTTCTATTACCCGAGAGCCCATGAATGATTCTGAATGCCAATTGTACAATCTAGTTAAAAAAATAGAATAATTTACAAATTATTCCTTTCGGTGAACGTTAGCAAAATATTATAAATCAATTATAGAGATGGAATACCTGAATTCCAAAACACCTTTAAATCAACCTCATTCCACAACAAGCAACTACTTCGCGTATTTTTTTGAACATAATTGCTTCTTTTATTTTTTTTTAACATTCGGCTACTCTATGTAATTTTTTTTTAAACAATTACGCCACGTAATTGTTGCCTAAAACTAAATGCTCCACGCATCTTTTTTATTGGCAAAATGTTTTTAATAGTATTTTTTATTACTCCTTGCATTTCCCGCAATATTTCTAACTCACAAAAATAAAAAGTAAACAAGACTTACCTGAAGGTTTATGATCCACAGGGGAACGTTGTTGTGTGGTGATGTAAAAAAGTCGATGAGGTCACGAAAAACTGTTCCTTCATGCTGGCAGATTCATTGTAGCACTTTCATAGCATTCAATTGGGAAAAAAAAATACTGAAATAAAAACACAAAAACATAAATTAGTTTGGCACAGAAAATACAAATGTTTTGTTTTGACGCAAAATAAATTTGTAAAATTGTATGAACTGGCGATAAATTATCTTTCTGTAAAAATTAAAATATTCATAAAGGAACATTTCACCAAGAAATTGTTTTTCATTTTTCTATTTTCGTAAAAGAGTCGCATACTCACTCCAAACTACCACCATTTGGACAGAGCCACACAATTGTTGTTGGATTATCTACAACGCAAAGATTTCCACTATTACCTGAGCCACAATGCACAAATTTTAACAACGATAACAAGTTTTTCTTTTGTGCACAATTAAGTGTATTTAGTGGCCACCGCAAATCTTTGCTCACAAGAATCATTGTTTCTTATTTGTATATTTTTCACGTTCAAGTTTTTCACACACAAAACTTACCTGGGGAACACAACACCGAAGAGCATTCCTCTATTAACGCCGCCACAGGCAAAGACAGATTGTCCATTGTGAATTGAATGGCGATCATTTCTTGTTGTCGTCGCACGTCAATTGCGCAATAAATAAAAAAAAAAAACAGATATTTCCCAAATGGTACTTCACGAACGCGAATCTTGAATTTACCTGAAAGGAAAAGAAAATTAAATAAACATTTGCCCTAATAGTAAGAATATAAAGAATATAATTACCTGTTTCTCAATCTTCATACAAATGGTATGAAGATGACGTTCACACATTTATTGTTGCTGTGTATGTGTTTTTTTTTTTTTCAAACCAGCTGCGACGGCGACGTTCTGCTCGTTGGAGCGGCACCAAACCGTTGTAGTTGTTGCCGGCACACGTATGTGTGACCGGCATTGTTGTCAATGGTGATAAGCGGTGGTATGATGCGTAAATACACACACACTCACACTAACCCTGTAGGCTGAGCCACCCCACATGGCCATTCATTGTGGAAATACGTACCCATTTTTTCTGAAAAGAAAATTTTATTAATTAAAATATGTTATTTTATTCTATGTCTATAAAATTATTATAAATGAAATTTTCAATATACTTACCCATATATCCAAGTCAATGTGGGAGCACAGCAGCGGGTTTTTTTTTGTGTGGATCAAAATCCATTCTTCTTTTGTAATTGATTATTTTATCCTGATGCTTTGCAGGAAAATGTTACAATCCAGTAACGCACATCACCATTTTTTCACTTTTTGTGTGAAAATGGCGAAGTTTTGTTGCGTGCGTACCGCGATTGCGAAAGATTAATTTTCTGTATTATCGGCTGAGCGAGAATTTACATTTGTAATTACCGCTCCAGCCGATCTTGAAAAAATGAATGAACCGGATACGGTTGGGTGTCAAGGTGCTGCCAATGTTCCTCTTAGTACATGGTACTAAGATCATATGCAACCATGGGTAACGATAGGGCTCGCTAAGTGCGATCAAAGAGGAAGAGAATAAACAAGGGAGAACAAAAAAAAGGAAAAGTGGGAAGATTGCGTCCAATGGCTGCCGTATAAAAGGGGTAACGGACAGAAAAATTCGCCATTAAAGTTTTGGTAAACGGGCAAGGAAAAATTTTTCTAAGCTAAAATTTAAAAAAGTGATCCCATAAAAACACCAAGATAGTGGAATTAAAGTTTTCGTAATTTTTTTATTTTTATTTGCCGATTGTTGTGTATGTGTGGGTGTGACCAAAATTTCGTAAGTTTCTGTTGTTCTAATAGTGTATGTCTTTTTGGTGTTTCGATGTTGTGTTTTTTTTTTTAAGATAACACCCCAACAAAAGACGGCTAGATATCTGACCCCTCCAAGTTTTCGGTGGAGGAGGTCAGCAAATTTTTTATATAAACGCAAGAGAAGCGCTGCTGCCCAGAAAGTCCGTGAGTGAGGCCAAGCCCCGGTCCGCCAAAGTACCGGTATTCAAACAGTGGTCGGCTCGGTAGGTCTGATGCCGAAAAGGTCAAAAAGATCATCAATATCTGGAAAGAAAAGAAAATATATAAGTACAGAATCTCCAGGTAATAATTTGTATTATTAAAACTTACCGAGTCCTGAACGGTTGGTGCGGCCAAGCGGCATATATATATCTTCCTCCTGCGGCCTGGAAAAAAAGAAGAGAATTTTGATTAATGATTAATTTGAATGAAAAATGGAATGACACCAAAATTTTATACTGACTAGTTTAATTTAATGTAATTGTCTGTAGTTTAAGTGTGATTGTCCTTAGTGTATAGAATTTAGGTTAAGATTTTTATATTGTGAAAATTTCTAACGCCCGGTTATATACCTGAGCGTAGGGTTAGACCGTCATACGAAGGGAGAATTCCAGTTTATTGGTAATTTTGGACATAAGGTAACGTCCATAATACCCCCTTAACAGAGCTCTATTAGGGAGGGAGTAGATGCAAAAAGTGGTCAGATTGGCAAAAATTTTTATGTACTCTTCGTAGACTGTAGTAGCCCGAGCAATTGGCTCACATAAAGACAGATTCAGGTGTTAGGAATTTTAAATTCAACATTGTGCAAATATTTAATTGTTAGGATTAAGTCAACTCTCGATATGTCAATAAATTGTTTATATGTGTAAATGTTAATAGTCGATATGATGTGCTAATTTGTAAACTCTTGGGGGAATATAGGGTGTAAATTGCGTGGTAAGTGTTAGTGGAATGCGGGGCCCTTAAGATATTTAACGATTATTGGACATAAGGGTCAAGGTTGGGTGGGCCAAGTGTGGGTGCAATTTCCACCAAGCACCCTTGTCACCGGTGTATGCAGTGTTTGTATTTTTGTTTGTTTTGATGTTGTAATATGTCCCCTTTTTTTTAATTGTTAGGTCCCTTGGACTGTTGGTGTCAGGGTTGGAACCGACCCTGAGCAAAAAGCTCCCCTGAGCAGCTGGATACACACCACAGTACCGCATAAGGTGGTAACCATAACAAGTGTGATTTCTTTATATCAAGGAAGTGGACGAAAGAATACAGCAACATCAGCAGAAATGGTTCGGAAAGTAAAGAAGCGACTTGATCGAAACCAGCGGCGCAGTGAACGAAAAATGGCTCGTGAGCTGAACATATCGCAATATTTCATTCAGCAAATATTGAAATGGAGCTCGGGGTAAAGCCATTGAAATTTCAAAAAGTGCAAGAACTTACACCCCAACAAAAAGAAAATAGACTCAAAAGAGCCAAAGAGTTGCTTCGCTTGGCCGAAAGTGGTTAACTGCCGAATTAGGTTTTCTTAATGAGAAAACATTCGTTGTCCAGTAGATTTTAAACAAACAAAATGATTGTTTTTACTTGTCAAAGAGGTCAGCTGAAACTGTGCACCTTCGTTTGGCCACCAGAACTCAAGCGCCGGTCATGGTAATGGTGTGGGTCGACATAACAGCCAATGGTCGTTCTCAGCTCGTATTAATCGACCGTGGCATCAGAAAAAATGCCGAATATTATTGCGAAAATATTAAAGGCTTGGGTACTCAAACATTTTGCGCACAGATCTTGGACTTTCCAACAGGACTCAGCACCATCGCACTCAGCACCGGCCACCCAAATCCCAAAATCTCCGGATACCAATCCGTTGGGCTTTTGTGTCTGCAGTATTTTGAAAAGCAAGGTTGGCACTAAAAACTATCAAAGTTTGGATCAACTCACCGCAATACCGCAGAGCAACATTCGTGCAGCGTGTGACGATTTCATTGGCCGTTTGAAGGACAAAATTCGTACCCAACGTGACCAATTCAAACAAATCTAAACCTATTCATAAATTTGATGCTATTTCCGACATTTTTGTTTCATTCAATAAATTTTAAACAAAAATGTAAAAATTATGGTGCTTGACTTTGTTGCAGTTATTTATCTCACCCTGTACACAAATCAAAGATGCTACGCAGTTGAATTTGCCAATTCAAATTACAGAAAATCTTGATTCAATATAACCATATTTTAATTGTACCTGAGGGATCAATTTTACGATTTTTTTTATTAAAACCATAATATTTGTTAAACTATTTTAATTAAAAGATTTTTTGAAAGCAAATGCGTTTATCAGATGGGCTTATTACGACAATAGACGACGAAATGTTTGTTTTGTCTGTCTATGCAGGTGGATCTTTTTCAAGAATTACACTTAGTTATTTGCGTATTTCTCGATGTCATCTTTTAATGTACACCAACATTTAATTGCGAAACAGTTTTTATTTTCTAACATTTTGGAATTGATTGACTTTATCTAACCCTGAAACGGCATAGGCGACATCTGCTCATCCGATTTTCTTTGAAGTTATACGATAAGAGCATTCCATTGCCCATTTCACGTTGAAAATACACCAAAAATTTATTCATGTAATTACTGATTTAAAAGCAAAAGAAACTGAAAAGAAAAAAACCAAGCTATCGAATAAGAAATTATTTTTCTTTATTTATATCATCTATGACTCCCTTTATCTGCCGTATATCACGTGCATACGTACGACAACAACCACCAATAATTTTTGCTCCCAATTGTGCCCATTCCTTAACGTATTCCGCCAATGGTATACAATGTTCCTTTCCCATCCAGCCCTTGTTGACATCATAAATTTCGCCACTATTTGGATAGACAACCATTGGCAATTGCTCCCGACTGCATTTATCTCCATTGACCGATTTCAAAAGTGATGTCACAAATTTTGGATGGACACAATTAACACCTATGCCCAGGAAATTTGCTAAGCAATTATGTTCCTTTACAATGTCCCATACGGATAAGGCTGCATCTACAAAATCTTCCCCATGGGCCAAAGTTTGATCATCTTTACATTGAAAGGACACCCAAAATTTAACATCAGGATATTCTTCACAAAGCATTTCCGTCAGAGCCTCAGCTTCTATTTGACAAGGTATTGTTTCAATAGCCAAAACGTCGACCTTGGCCTCAAGACAGGCATCAATTCTAGTCCTATGCCAATCCCCTATATCTTTAGCTGGCAAAAAGTCGGCATATGACCCCGTATACTCGGAACCATCATGCAAATGAGCACCATATGGTCCAATGGATGCCACAATTAGGGGGAATCCTAAACACATATAAATATCAAGATGAATAGTGAGATAAGGAAAACGAGAAATTCCATAGGGATAATATACCAACCTTCTTTAACAGATAACCCCGCTTGATATGTTTCCTTTAAAAACTTTTCCTTGGCCGTGTGTGCTAAACGAACTGTTTTTTTTATTAGATCCACACTTTCTGTTTCATTCAACTCTAAATGTTCCATATAACCTTCCACGCTAACTTGATAGGTGTTGGTCAATATCATGTCTGCACCATCTAAAAAGTATTTAAAAAATATACAAATAGGAAATTATTCAAATAATACTTTATGAATTAAGTCAACTTACTTTGCAAAAAATCCAAATGTGTATTGATAACCGCAGTCGGATTTGTTGCATTAAATCGGGCACTCCACAGAGGATCTCCATCGACAGCATCGCCAACATGTATTGTCATTTGAGTGCCAAATCCGCCATCTTTTACAAGCACTCGCTTGGAATTCATTTTATTTTTGTTTGTACTACGTGAAAAAATAAGAAAGCTATTTAATAATTGTTTTAGTGGTTTAATATATAATATATTTCAATATATATCAGAATCAAGGTTGGGAAGTAAGTTTAATTGATTTATGAAGGTGGTTTGGAAATGTATGCTAAGTGTGGAACAGTTTATTTTATTGTGAACGGATGAAGCTAGAATTTTGAAATTTTTTATTGGTGGCATATTTGTGATAAATAGGTGGTTTCGAAAACGAGCATTATGAGTGCACGAAAAGTACTAAATAGAAATATATGTTTGTATTTGGTGAGCAGATAGTGCTTAAAATATAAAATTTGGAAAGTAAGTTTAATTGATTTATGAAGGTGGTTTGGAAATGTATGCTAAGTGTGGAACAGTTTCTTTTATTGTGAACGGATGAAGCTAGATTTATAGTATATTTTTGTATTTGGTCAGCAAATAGTGCTTAAAATATAAAATTTGGTATTATGGTCTCTGTATAGCCTAAACATGTGGAGGTGGTTTCGGATATGTATACTATTATTCACCGAAAAGTACTGAATGACACTATTGGTCTGTTCCAGAACTGCAAGATTTTTACTAGGATAAACAATTTTCCCTTTTGTTTTTCCCAAAACAAGTAGATTCCTACAGGTACTGGAACAGGGCATAAATTTGTGATGGGTGAAGAGATAGAGATAAAATTCTGAAATTTTATATTTAGATTACAGATTGTATCTTGCGTTAACCGTTGATGTCTAGTATTAAGATTAAGAACGGTTTTGCAAATGAGTACTAAACTTATACGAAAAGCACTAAATTTGCTATTAAGTGAATGTACAGGGAAGGATAAAAAAACTGCAACAAAGTCAAACGCCATCATTTTTACATTTTTTTTAATTTTGTTATATGAAAGCAACACATATCGGAAACAGCATCAAATTTTAGAAAAAGTTTAGATTTGTTCGAATTGGTCACGAATTATGGCCTTCAAACCGTCACAGGCTGCACGAATATGCTCTGCGGTATTTTGGCCCATTCCCGATCGACACTTTGGTATTTTTTAGTGCCTTCCAAAAAAACTCCAGACGCAATAGGCCAACGGAGTGGGATCCGGAGATTTTGGTGGACATTGTGCGCTATAAATGAAGCGAGGAACGTCATTTTTTAAACATTATTGGGTGGCGCGTGCTGAGTGCAATGGTGCTTAGTCCTGTTGGAATATCCAGGGTCTACGGCCAAAATGTTTACGTGCCGCAGGCTTTAATACACCCTCCAGTATATTTTCGGCATTTATTCTAATGCCACTGTCGATTAATACGAGTGGAGAGTGATCATTTGCTGTTATGACGGCCCACACCATCACCATAGCCAGGGCGTGAGTTCTGGTGGCCAACTGAAGGTGCACATTTTCAGCTGACCTCTTTGGCAAGTAAACGCGATCGTTTTGTTTATTTACAAACTACTGGACAACGAATGTTTTCTCATCGGAGACGGAGAAAACTAAATTCGGCAGTTCTCCACATTCTTTACTTTTCGAACCATTTCTACTGATGTTGCTGTTTTCTTCCATCCACTTCCTTGACGTCAGGATACGCTACCAGTATCACGGTAACGAGCGATGGTACGAGACACAAACGATTTACTCACATTAAATGCTGGACTGCCCTAACGATAGCCACTTGTGGTTTTCCAGCTATATATAAAGAAATAACACTATCACGCTTGAATTCCATCAAGTTTTTTCATCTCATCCTGTAGTTCCCAAATTATGACTACTCTAAACCATACGCATTCAAATAAGATTCATAGTTGGTATGATCCACTTCACATTAATTCCCGACATAAACTTTTGTACGAGAGCTCTTCTAAATACGTTATAGTGGCGTAGGGTGCCCCCGCGTCTTTTGACCTTTCCTTGTTGTTGTTTTTTTTTTTTTTTTTTGAAGGCTTCAAAATCATTAAATACAATAAATCGGGAATTCTCTTCGTCGCCTATCAAATGCATAACAATTTTATTGTATCTGGTATTGGTTAAGTAAAAAGTATAAGGCGTTAGCCTTGAAGGCTTCGACATTGTTAAATAGTTTCAAAATTGGGATGGTCGAAGTCCTTGTTTATATTGATTGAATGGATCACAAATTGAGTAAAACAAAGACAATAATATCACATGATGTCAATTAAAAAAAAAAAAAATTGCGATAATGCATTACCAATTTGCATTGAAATTAACTGCAATTGCACACATTCGATTATAAGTACATATGTATGTAGACTACGATATAGGTTACAAGGTATTTAATTATTTATTTTGAACTGCTAAGGCAATTGATAAGTGATCATTTTTCCGATTAAAAAGGCAGTTGTTGTTAGGCGATTGCCAATTTCGAATTAATAATTATAATTTTGTTATTCCTCTGTGTGTGGGGTGTTCTGCAGCTGTTGAACAAGCGAAAATAGATTAAAATGTTCTTAACATAGCATTTACAAAAGACAATACCAGTGAGTTCCTGTATTTGTTGTAAAAACAAAGAAAACTAAACACAGTGAAGTAGCCGTCCAGACAGTTACACATACAATCACAATGTTATGAACGAAAATGTTAACATTTCATATATCCTTTTCAGTGAGAATTATACGTAGCTTATCTTCTTATATTTTAATGTATCTAAATACCAAGTAATTCTATTTGGAACGAATTTGGCAATTCTCCAAAAAGCAATAAAAACCGTTAAAATTTCTGTTAAAATTTTAAAAATACCGAATGTAGCCTTTAGAAGTAGTAGGGTCTCTACGACGACATGGACCCGCATAGGTAATTTTTTTCATAAGCCATTACAATATTCAAATGCGAAACTTAAAAAAAATTGCTGAAACCAAAACTTCAAATACCAAATTTGAAACAATTCCGGTGAATAAAGTAGCTAAAATCATCAAAATACTGAATATCGGGAGGTATCGTTATATGGGGGCTATACGAAGACGTGGACATGCACAGACAATTTTCTGTCTTAGGCTGTAGTATCCATTACGAACTTCAAATACCAAATTTAAATAATTCCGGTGAATAATTTCGCTAAAATCATCAAAATAACGAATATCGGGAGGTATCGTTATATGGGGGCTACACGAAGACGTGGACCTGCACAGACAATCTCCTGTCATAGGCTGTAGCATCCATTATGAACATCAAATACCAAATTTGAAAGAATTCCGATGAATATTGTCGCTAAAATCGTCAAAATACCGAAAAAAGGAGGTACCGTTATATGGTGGCTATACGAAGACGTGGACCTGCACAGACAATCTCCTGTCATAGGCTGTAGCATCCATTATGAACATCAAATACCAAATTTGAAAGAATTCCGATGAATATTGTCGCTAAAATCATCAAAATAACGAATATCGGGAGGTACCGTTATATGGGCCTATACCAAAACGTATACCTACATGGCCCATTTTCAATACCAAAAGTACTGCATACGTAATATACATTTGAGTAAAATTTTATTAATCTACTTCAATTCGTTCGGAAACTAGAGTGATTTCCACAGACGGACGGACATCGCTAATTCGACATAGAATTTTATGCTGATCAAGAATATATATACTTTCTAGGGTTTAAAATGTATGATTCGAGGTATTACAAACAGAATGTCAAACTTAATATACGCTCCATACTACGATGGAGGGTATAAAAAACTGAAAATGTAAATTGTTTTTCGTTGGTTTTCAATTGTTACTGCAAATCTTACGTTATCACCAGCAGTTACATACACACATGTAAACAGAACATATATTCTCAAAATAATTTAAACTGACCTTCAAAATAACGCAGTTCCAAAATTGTGTATTATTATTAAATATGTTTAAACCCAGAGTATTAATTCGACAAATTAGTTTCAATATTAGCTAACGGTAGCACTTACCTTGCAAATATAGTGAAGTAACCCTTTTGATCTCGATTAGTATAGCTTTGATTTTTTTTTCTTTTTTTAGAGTATAAACAAACAATTTAAAAACAAATCTAAAGGTTTAATTAATGATTTAAGATTATTTTGAAATGCTTGGGAGTGGATGTAACAGCTGTATGTGTTTCGCCAATCGAAAGCGAATACTTTATGCAGCATAAATCTCTCTGTCGATTCGTTTTATATTACACCCATTCTGTTTTACTTTGCTGTACATTTGTCTGTATGTATTATTTTTCATCACACGACTACTACATCGCGGTGATAAGGTACTACAAACAAATTGTTGACGATGGACACAAAAGCCCATATTGATAAAACGACTAGACGTGTTTGTTATTCTTTCTTATAATTTTAATAATATCGGGTGCGATGTGTTTCCATACGGTAATTGTTTTCTTTTTAATCAGTGCATTTTATTCGGGATCTAGACTTGTATAGATGTGCAGTGGCCAGCCATGCCCAAAATATTCAAAGATTTGGTTGGGAACAATAATTTATTAGAGGAAAATTATTAAATTGTTTTTCGTTTTTTTTATTATTTGTTTGCTTTATTTTTAGAGATAATAACACAATGTTTTGCTGAACATACTGATCTGATACAATTTCAGCTTTGGGGTTCAATTATTTGAGGTCAATACTCTAAAGATGCAAAGTTTATTTTCAAAATGCCTACACAGTCTGGCGAAATTTTCGGTTTTATTTCAAGTACAAGTGGCCTGGCAAATTTTGTTTATATGTTTTTTAAGAGATAATATATGTGGCCTATATTAATCTGAAAATATGTTTTGTTTGCTTTAGGTACAAATTATTTAAAATAAATGTCCAATAACTCTATTATGAATGAAATGAATGAATACAAAAAGAAAATGTTTACAACACTCCGAGTTTTATATAATATAAGGTAGTTTGAGTTTCTCCTTTCTCTGAAGTAAAGCAATTTAATAACAATATTTAAAAATGCATTAAACCATATTGTTGTTGTTGTTTTGTACAATATACCCAGATTTTAATTGAGTTTATTATTGAATGAACTCAATTCATTGTTGTTGCCAAAGCTATCGACACATTTACGTATTTGTAAAATATCTTCCGGATAAACTCGACAACATCCACCAATTATTGTAGCCCCCAAGCGTATCCAGTCAGGTACATAGGATTCCATTGGAATGCAGTCGTCGAGTCCGGTCCATTCTCCTTTATCGGCATCATAAATTTCGCCCCTATTACTATAAACGACCAGGGGTGGCAAATCTTCGTTGCCCAACAATGTGTGCAGGGACTTGAAGAGATTAGCAACAAACTGAAAATGAAGGAAAAAATTATCTTTTTCATGTATTTATAGGGATGATGGTGCACGTTTCAACATATACAAATTAGATTGGTAAGAAAATCTTAACAACAAGGGGTTTCCCTGGTTCCCTTTATAGCCCCTTATTAATACAGGGTGAAATAAAAAAAAACTACAACCCCCTAATTTTTACATTTTTTTAATTTTATTAATGAAAGCAAAAAATGTCGGAAATAGCATCAAATTTTAGAATAAGTTTAGATTTGTTCGAATTGGTCACCTTCAACCGACCATAATTCGTGCGGTAAGTCTAATTTCTGTCTGTTGTGGTGTAAGTTCTTGCACTTTTTGGAATTTCAATGGCTTTACCCCGAGCTCATTTTTCAATATTTGCCGAATAGAATATTGCGATATGTCCAGCTCGCGAGCCATTTATCGACCACTGCGACGCGGGATTCGATCAAGTGGCTTCTTTACTTTTCGAACCTTTTCTGCTGATGTTGCTGTTTTCTTCCGTCCACTTCCTTGACGTCGGGCTACGCTACCAGTATCACGGTAACGAGCGATGGTACGAGACCCAAAAGATTTATTCACATTTAAATTCTGGAGTGCTCTAACGATAGACACTTGTGGTTTTCCAGCCAAATATAAAGAAATCACACGCTTGAGTTCCATCAGGAATAACTTTTTTCTGGAAAAAAATGCTCACCAAAATGCTTTTGTACGATTGTAAACAATATAATGAGCTGTCTCTGGAATAATTTTAACCGCTGTCGGACGAGCTTAGAAATGACAGCTTTCTTTTATTTTGAGCTTACGATCTCGTCACACGGGTAAAGTTATTTTTTAAAATAACTCCTAAGGAAAATGTCCCAGACAAATAAACAAGGGAACTGATGAGGATTGGTGGCTCTTTCCGAAACCTAGGTACTCTCTGCCTTACCCCCTGGTAAACATGTCATCGATCTCCACTAATAAACAAACGTTGTTTTTATAAAAACAACAATAATAGCATTTCCCGCAATATTCTATATCAATATACAAAGCTACAATACTTACATTGGGATTTACACAATTCACACCGATTCCATAAATATGGTCTTTGGCTTTAGCACCATGTTTCTTTTTAATCATATCCCAAACAGCTTTAGCCGCATTTGCAAAATTTTCACCATGAGCTAAATGGAGGTCATCTTTGCATTGAAATGATATCCAAAATTTAACGTGAGCATAGTCTCGAAGCAAAATTTCAGTGACTGCCTCTGCCTCTTTTTGACATGGAATAGTTTCAACCGATAAACCATCAACATTTTCCTCAAGTAATGCATCTATGCGTATTCGATGAAAACTTTGAAACTCTTCTTTAGATACTTTATCCGTGTAACTGCCGCAATATTCAGAACCGTCGTGCAACATGGCACCGTACGGGCCGACCGAACCCATTACCAAAATAGTTTCAGTAGTGCCACCTTTTTCTACCACATTTTTTAGGTATAGATCTCTCGCCTCTTTGGCTAACTGAACGCTTTTTCTCATCAATGCAATGCTTTGTTCTCGGCTAAGTTTCAAATGTTTCATAAATCCCTGAACGCTCGATTGATACGTATTGGATAGAATTATTTGGGCTCCATCTGCAAATGCATAAGATGGTTAGTTATTTGGAACAAATATATATATAGGTAGATTCGAGGGCTCACTTACTTTCTAAAAAGTCCAAATGTGTTCTAACAACGGCGGAGGGATTCTCATGATCAAAACGTGAACCCCACAATGGATCGCCATCTATTTTACTGCCAACATGCTTTGCCAATTGTGTGGAAAATCCCCCACACTTGACTAAAATCTTTTTATCCTGCTCCATAAGAAAAGTTGCCTCTGAAAATCAAATCAAGTGTTTTATATTACAATTTTATTACAAGATAAAAAAGAACACTAAAATTTATAAAGCAACCGGATAGGACAGGAAAAGGATCAAAGTGAATTGATTATATTCAGCAGAAAAAAATTAGTTTTACATAGTTTGTGCTTTTTATTCCGGTATTACTCTCAAGATATGATCCTTTAAAGTTCAGATAAAAAAATTGAACTAGTCTGCTTCCACTGAAACGGTTTTTACTACAAAAAATTGGATTCAAAAATTATAAACTATGAATTCGTGAAAGATATTGACTTATTTTCGCACATGCTCGAATTTTGGGGGATTTATAAAAAATCGGGATCAAACAAGCGATTGTAACCGGGTAAGTTTAATCGGTGGCCAATCGAATTTTAAAACTCTCTCCCTTTTAATATATATTTCTGTCTAGCTCACTACTTCACTACTGGAATATAATCTAATTTCACAGAATAAGGTTTTGTGTGATTCACTGCGGTCAGAAAATGCAGCTTTTTATGGTTCCATAAATAATATAGTAATGCACATTAATATAGCTTGTAGGGTGTCACCATAGTGCATAAGTTGAACAAATACAAAATCGATATTTTTATCAAGCGCAACCCTACCTTACACCTACGAAAATATCAAAAAGCCGACGAATATTAAAGACGAATCTTATTATATTGCGTCTATACAATTTTATATTGTAATTGTAACTGTATCACACTATCGCAATAGCAATTAGCTTACTTGGCAATATTTTTTTTAATTTTAAATGCGTTTTGTGATTGAGTTGCTGCTTTTTAACAAAAATTCCAAAAACAAAACAAACATTGCAAAGCTTTTTGCATTCAAATGTGGTTGCCATTTAGTCAGAATCAATAGCAAATAACGGCGTTATATCCAAGTTACACAGGAGAAATTATATGAAATAAAGTTTCTTGAAATTGTTGAGTTGCTGCTTTTAAACAATAATTCCCAAAACAAACATTGCAAAGCTTTTGCATTCAAATGTGGTTGTCATTTATTCAGAATCAAGATAGCAATAAAGGCCAAGTTACATAGGAAAAAGTTATGAAATAAAGTTTCATGAAATTGTACGTTTTTACACGATGGAAGTGGGCGTTATTGAGAATTTATGACCTGATTCACATAGTCAAAAGGAAATAGTCACTACCATGGTTGTTTTAAAATTTTCAAATATTTAGTTAAATAAAAACAACTGAAAACGCGTTAAGTTCAGCGGGGCCGACCGTTTAATCAACTACAACATAAGGCAAATTTTAAAAACTAAATTTAAAAAAAAATCACTTTTTAAATATGTCTAAAATCACCAAAATACCAAATATTTATGGGTAACACTTTATTATTGATATATAAGAAAAAGGCAGAACCCAGTACAAACTCTACATACCGAATTTTAAATTGTCGTTTTGTTTGTTTCTTTAAAAATTTTGTTAAGACCATCAAACAGGAACCCATATAGAAAATAATCTGTCACCGAATTTTACAAACTCCAAGCAACGAATTTAGGAATATCGGAAGGTATCATGGGCGCTATAAGAAAACGTGAACATTAATGGACAATGTTTTGCCACAAGAGTAACTGAACTTTAAACAATTTCGTTAGAAAAAGTGGTTAAATTTTAAAAATATTGAATATCGGGAGGTAGCGTTATATGGGGTTTTTGGAGAACATGTATTTTAACATACAATGATCGGCCAAAAGAGGATGAACAGACTCTAAGAATCAATTCCATTAGCTAAAATTATAATAATTCCGAATTTTGGAAGTTACCGTTATATGTTGGCTTTATGGAAACGTCGATTTACATATACAGTTATCGGCCACAAAGGGGTAGAACACATTACAAACGCTAAATACAGAACTTTAAAAAGTTCCGTCACTAAAATGTGGCTTAAGTTCTTAAAACATCGAGAGATACAGTTATGTGGGGGCTTTACGAAACGAACGAACTTAACCTGTCTACTGGCAAAAGAAACATATTTGCAAAATTTTAGACTTATATCTCAATTCGGTAGAATTTTCATTTTGATTTACACGACCCGTTTAATGACCCTTCTTAGCGTTTAAATAGACACAACTAATATTGATGGCAACGCAGTCAAATCTGAATTGTCACTGCCAACTTTTGCCGGCGTCATGAATCACTAGCTCCGTACTGTAAGCCGGCGACATTATTGCAAAGTAACTTAATTTTTTTCTTGCAAGTTGGAAATAATTTTTCAGAAAAACAAACAGAATGCTTATCAAAGTTAAGGTAGGCATTATTGTTTATAAAATCAGCAATCAGCAATGAAAATAATTTTGCATATTTTAGACCTTAACCGGAAAGGAAATTGAAATCGACATTGAGCCCACAGACAAAGTAGACCGTATTAAGGAACGTGTAGAAGAGAAAGAAGGCATTCCTCCACAACAACAGCGTTTGATATTTTCTGGGAAACAAATGTAAAATGGTGTAGTTGTTGTTTTTATAGTACAAATTAATAGATTTGCTATTTCTATATAGGAATGATGACAAAACTGCAGCAGACTATAAAGTTCAAGGTGGTTCTGTCCTGCATTTAGTTTTGGCTTTGCGTGGCGGAGTTTACTAATATCACAGTTGTACCCAGTCTTAAGTAAATTATAATGAGTCTTTTTTGTAAAAATAAATAGAATTTATTGTAAAACAAATGGGTGAGTCGCACTTAAAATACTAGTATGATACTACGCAGGTGGGACACAGGTTTGACGAACGAAAGTGTAACTACAAATCGAGGATCTTTTTCCTTCGGGTTTCCAAATTGTTATCATACTTCCAATATTAGACAAGCTTGTCGCATAACGCTGAAAGGATTGGAATTGTGGTAGAATTATTGGAAGGTAGAAGCAAAACTTTCCGGCAATAATTTGGTTATTTTTTAGATAATAAAAAAGCGTAACATTATATGATTAAATATATAATTTTGCACTGTCAAATTTTATGTAGTTTTATCAAAAGTTTGAAAATGTAACGCATACATTTTGCGAAACAGGTGTTTTTTGCTAAATTGTTATTTTGGCAAAACTCACTCATCACTGGTTTCCCAAATACATATTTTTCTTTCGGTGCCCTTTTCTGTCAAAATATATACACAGCTTGTATATGTGAGTGCACTTTTTTGAATAAACAAAAAAATAAAAATTTTACAAAAGAATGTAAAGCTTTTTACTAAGATAAACGGTTTTCTCGTTATGATATCGAAAGAATTTGCAAAACTTGTAGATTGTCGAGTTTCGCTCTATTCCAGAACCTGCAAGAATCTACTAGTTGAGCAATTTGGATATCTTTACTAAGATCTTTATATTCTTGCAGTTCGGGAACAGACAATTTGTGTTCAAATTTGGTTTATTCCAATTTAAAACTCTTTACAATAACCGATTTTTCCTTTATGATATCGAAAAAATTGCAAACCTATACTTTGTTCCAGAATCTGCAAATATCTACTTGTTTTTGGCCTGTTTCAGAACTGCAAGAATGTAAAAAGTTTTACTGCATTTACCTTTATCATATCGGAGAAAATTGCAAAACTAGTAGATTTTTCAGGTTCTGGAACAGACCATTTGTAATTTTCTTCGATATCATAACGGCATAATCGGTTATCGTAGTAAATAATTTTACATTCTTGCAGCTCTGGAACAAAACACTAGCAGATCTTGCAGGTTTTGAAAGAGCATATAATTTAAGGGCTCTGTCAGACAGATTTTTTTTTACGTATACAATGTGAAATTTTTCATGTTATTTCAGTTGTGCAATGCTGCAAAATTTATAAATTATACGTACAAATTCCTATTTTGGCATATATACGGAAATAAGCATAAATAATAAACGTATATAAAACGAATTCCTTTTGATAGTGCAGTAAATAAAAAATAACCAATAAATGTCCAAGAATCATAACAATTGTTAGGGCTGTCTGATGAATGAGGGAATTGAGATGCGACATTTGCAAGTACCCGTTGACATAACTGATATTGCGCGTACTAGCAATTTGTATTTACAAGGTGACACGTTACAAAAATGTGTGTGCACAACATTGAATTCATGGTAGAAGAATGCAGGTAGTCGCTTCGACACAGCTGCTGGGACAATGAAATGTCAAACCAATTTTGAAATTGAAAATGTTGAATGAAAAATTATTCAAATTCGTTAACATAGTTGAAAAATGTATATCATAAGAAGCTCCGATTGGCGTTGTATAAGAAATCATATAAAAATCTACTTATTTTTGAAAAAAATATTTTTAAAATTTTTACACATCATTGATCCCAGGCGTTGATGCATCTACCTATATTCTTTTACCATGATTGAATTGTCAAATTTGTGAAACACGTTTTAGTAATTTCGATTTTGTTTAATTTTGACATCCCATTCCCAAATCAGAGGTAGGTAGCCATTTTAAATGAAATGAAGTAGTGGTTTTATCTTCAATAGTATAAACGCGCTATACACTAAATTAACTTTCTTTGGCAAAAGACAAACCATCGAAAATAGACATTTGTATCCCTACATTCTTGACGGCGTCGTTGGAAATTGACAAGCTTCGTTCTCTCTCCGGCATCTAAAAATGCCAAAAATTCGCCACAATACAATTCCACCAACTTTAACATTAATAAACAAAGTATATTTTATTAATTTTTATTCTTGTTCGGGTTTTACAAGTCGTGTCGTTGTACCTACCGTAATTGCCTCTTTCTGGGGCCATTAGTTTTCCTTTTCTAAGGAAGAAAACATATAAATTATATTTCATACATTCAGTACAAGAAGAAGACATTTCCAAAACTTCTCGTACAGTCCATATCAACAAAATCCATTGATAAAATGGAGGGCAAGTGTAATAAGGCTCCTACAAGTAAATATTTGGACCACGTTTATTGTCATACCACTCAGACCAAATCGGTTTATAGTAATAACATGGCAACTGCAAACAACAGCGGTGGTGGTTCTTCGTCTACCAATTCGGACGTTTTGGCGCTTTTGAAAGAAAACAAACAACTGAAGGGGATGTTAATCTTACATTTGGACTTGATACAGGAACAAAGTGATCAGTTGATGGCACTGAGAGCTCGAAACAATGCTTTGGAAAATACAATTCAGGAATTGCAAAAACAGCTGCAACAGCAGAAAAGAGCTGGCGAAATGTCCACATTGCCGTTGCCGCCATTGGCCAAAATACAGTCGGGAGTAGGTGGTAATGTTACAGCTATGACACAGCCGGCCAATTCCAAGACAACATCCTCTGGTTCACAAGGCGTATCGAATATAATTGGAGTCTGCAATGGAAAATTAATTAACAAAATTGTTCTTTCGTCGGTGCGGGACAAGCAAAGAACACACAGTCCGCAGAGTCAAACAACCGATACGGAACATGAAGACGACGATGAAGAAGAGCGGGAGCCCTATGATGATGTAGATATTGAGGAAATAATGGATGACGAAGAAAACGAAGAGGACCGCAGCCTGAATGGTCAGGATAACGGGGAGAACGAAGATGATCGGGAAGGAGCGGCCAATGACAATAATACAAAGGACGATATGTCAAATATACAACAGCAGATAATAGATGAAATGTATGACACTGGAAACAGCACAGAAGATAGTAATGAGGTCTTAGCAGTGCAGAGTAAGCGCCTGAGATTAAAGCAAGCAGCCAAGCAATCATTGGCTCTACCTCGAGGTGCTAAACCAAGTGTTTCACCCGCTTCGACTACCACTAGTGATGGTCAAACAACATTTAAGGCTGTAACTTCAATCAATACGGGGCACCTTAGTGTAAGTAGAGGAAAACAAATGACCATAATGCGCTGGCATGCTCCCGACTATCATACGGATGAATCGGTTAGTTGTGACTCCACGGCGGAAACGGAAAAGGTAAGCAAAAGTGAATATAATTCAAACACCTAGGTGTATAATTTATTTATAAATACTTTCAGAGATCTGTATCTGTTACGTCCTGTTCGCCGCCTAAACCTTCTGCAGCTGGTACCAATGATAAAAAACGCTATAACCACGGCCAGGATAGTCAACATTCCCACGCAAGGGCAAAAATCAGAAAATGTTCGTACATTTCTACACAACAGCTATATAGCACGCGGGAATGGGAGGACGAACCTTTCCATTTCGATTACGACTCGGAGGTAATTAAACTGTCGGAAACGGAAAAATTGGAGATACCAAAGTGGACCGAACATGATTTGACCCCCTCCTACTGCATTGAGGGCACAGAGGACCTGTCCGACGACACCTTCTTCAAGAGACATGCCAAATTTGAGGTTGACGAAAAAAGACGAAAGAAGTGGGATGTTCAGCAGATACGGGAACAAAGGCGAATCGAACGGCTGAAGCGTAGACATTGCAAGGATGAAATACAGAATGTCCAAGAGTCGGCATTTCTGCAAAGTTTTTATCCAACTACTGAGAATTTGCAGACAATATGCTACGTGCAGGACCTACCAGTACAAGCATTCGGCGAAATGATTCCAAAGATTATGGGGGCAAATGGAGATCGCAAAGACTTTCTTTTGCCGTGGTTGGATAGAACACACATCACACAAAATTCCAGCGATAACAGCAGCAAAAAGCCGACAGTGACCACACTTAGTTGCTCTGCGGACACAAATACATCTTCTCAGATACAAAATCAATTGCTAAATTCCTCATTTGTTATGTTGAAAAAACGTAGGCAGAGGCAGCAAAGCACCACCTTTGGCACATCATCCCATCACAGTACAACAAGACAACGCAGTTCGGCGGCAGCCAAGTTGGCGATAACCACCTCTTCTGTACCTCCCATTAGCAGTCCCGCAATTGTAACTACTTGTGGGCCATCATCAGCTGCCTCAGACGTTACAATAACAACACAGTGCACCAGTAATTCTAATTCAAAAACCTAGGCTAATGTGTAAAGTAGATTTGCAAAACTAATTTTAAGTTCAAAAAAGAAACGTGTGAATGAATTATTCTATTTATTATAAATGCATTTGATAATTTTACACTATATATTGTTTGTATCATTAAAATGCTTAAGTTTGAACCGAAGATTATTGTGATAAAAAGTTTCGAAAATCGCTGGGAATAAGCTTACCTAATTGCATACCATCTAAATGTATATAAGTAAAAATCCACTTTAGTTACATCCTAGTGCACAATTATGTATATAAAAAACAATCTTTTGAAAATGTGCAAATTCTGAATATAGATATTTTATACATAAATAAAATGTATAAATAGCAACACCAAGTAATTTTATTTTATTTATATATATATTGTATTTGCTTTATTCGAGATTTTATTTGCCATTCGACTTGATAATTTTATCAAGCATGATGTGTTATTATTAATGGAGGTTATTTATTGATAGTTATTCTAAATAATTTAATTTTATCACAAGGAGATTTACCAAATTGCTAAATTGCATGGTAATTGCATTTGATTGTTTTATGCTCATGAAAAATTGTAGAGTATAGGTATTCTCAAATATTTCTTAGAAATTAAAAATAAAACTACTAAAGAATAGTTTAGATAAAATTTATTTGTAATACAAGTAATACTTTCGATTAAACATGTGTAGATAATTGACGACATCAGGGGGGAAGACGAATTGCAATTGATTAAAAAAAACATTGTTAGTAAAATATCAAAATATATAACAAAAAGGCATTAAACAAACACAAGAATATGGAAATTCAAAGGCCACACCATAAAATACAATTAACATTGTTACTTGACGCTGCTTTGTAAATAGTTATCACATGATGTTTTCCATATATCATCAATAGTTTCCCACTTTTCACGCCACAACTCTTCAATAAGTTTCCAACCCTGTTCTTGGGTTACAAGCACGTATTCATTGGACGGATGTAGAGAATGAGTATAGGCTCCCATTACCAAACTTTGTGCCAAACGTGCTGCTACACAATATTTCAGGTAAGACTTAGTTTCAGCATTCAAGGGGAGTATGGTCTCGAAACCAGCCAGAAAAACACCACCACTCTCCAAGCTCTTGGCTTGCAATAACATGTAAGTAAGGGCAATGCCGATTTCAAATAGAATTGGCGATTTGTTTGTGTCTCCGAAATCAATTACGGCCTTTATTTTATAATCTTGTCCATTTGCACAAGGCTCCACAATGATGTTTTGCTCATTAAAATCGCCATGTATAATCTGCATTTCGAATGTATCAAGCTTAGAAAGAACAGTTTTTTCAAAGGCCTCCATTACTTCTTCGACCAAAGCCTTGCGAGAATGGTCTTCCAAAACATATAGAAACTTTTTAATCTGTGGTACCGATTGCAATTGCCACGTACTTGTGTGTGAATCATATGCCTCGTGTTGGAAGTTCTTTATTATAAAAACAATTATATCTGTTATTTCATATAATATTTAAGAAATAAATAACGTTACCTTCAAAGCCTTGACCATTTTCGCCAAATATTCTCCGGACTGATAGAGTAAATAGTTGGTTGTTGGAACTTCGTGGAACATTTTTCCGGGCACAAATTCCAATAGTCTCACAATGTGTTGCGTTCCATTTATGTTTTCAACACTGTAAAGTTTGGCGTTAACATTTGCCACCGGACGAGGGCACTCTATATATTTTGCTATTACAAAAAGAAGGCACTGTGAATTAAAGAACTTCAATATAAGGCGATATCAAACATACATAAGTATAACATCAATTGGTTTTGGGCGTCAACAAAGTCCTCCTTTTTAGAATCCAATGCATTGAGAATTTTCAAAACATAACCATGGGGACAATGTGATACAATAAGGGGATTTTTAATGTTCCTAAGAATGTAAAAAGAAAATAAATATAAGTTATACATAAAGGAAAACATTATCCGGTCCGAAAATACAGTTTGTCTGAATTAGAAAAAATGAAAAAAAAATTAAATCTGAAACGCTTTTATACAAAATTCCCATATTATTATCATGACCGGAACGGCAACTCGTTTTAAGTAACAAGTGCGGCAACACTCGAATTCGCAAAACTATAATTAGGGCGATGTGGCAATGCTGTGTACTTCGCGCGCAATTTTATTCTCATACAAAACAAAATGTAAACAATTCAAGCTATTCAGCCTATTTAGAGGGAAGAAATCAAACATAAAACATGGGAATTTCGGGCTTGATTCCCTTCCTGGAGAAGGCGTCTAAGCCGGTAAATATTCGAAATTTAAGAGGAACATCAGTTGCAGTGGACAGCTACTGCTGGCTTCATAAGGGCGTCTTTGCCTGTGCCGAGAAGCTGGTCAGGGGAGAAGATACCGACATTTACCTACAATACTGCCTGAAATATGTCGATATGTTGCTGGAAAATAAAATTAAAATTATAATGGTATTTGACGGAAATCATCTTCCGGCAAAAGCCGAAACCGAACGCAGGAGAAGAGAGGCACGGCGGGAAAGTAAGAAATTGGCCAAGGAATATCTTCGAATGAATGAAATAGAAAAGGCTCGCTCACATATGAGAAGAGCTGTGGATGTTACACATGAAATGGCTTTGAGACTAATAAAAGCATGCCGAGGTAAGTGTTTAGAAACGTCTTAGAATTTTCCAAATATTACAAAATTTTCACTTCAGAGAGAGGTGTTGAATGCATTGTTGCTCCATATGAAGCGGATGCACAAATGGCATGGCTTAACATAAAAGGTCTGGCTGAATATATCATAACTGAAGATTCTGATTTGACGTTATTTGGGGCGCTAAAGATTCTATTTAAACTTGATCTTCAGGGAAGTGCACTCTTAGTGGAGAGCAGTAAGTTGCACTTGGCAATGGATTGCAAGCCTGAAAAATACACTTTTGATAAGTTTCGTAGAATGTGTATTTTATCAGGATGCGATTACTTGGATTCTTTACCGGGCATTGGACTAAAAAAAGCTCTTAAATTTATGATGACAACTGAAGAAGATGATATGACTAGGGCTTTAAAGAAATTGCCACAATATCTGAAAATGAAACAACTGGAAGTTACCGAGGAATACATTCAAGAATTTTTAAAGGCGGAAGCAACATTCAAGCACATGTACATTTACAATCCATTGGAAAGGCGCATGGAAAGGTTGCACGATTTGGAAGAATTTGGAACTGATGAGAAATACTGTAGTAATGCTGGTACACTACTGGACGACCATGAGAAGGCATTTCAACTGGCTTTGGGTAATTTGAATCCATTTACTTTAGAAAAATTACACGATTGGCATCCCGACAAGGAAGATTGGTCAAATTCTTCTAAAAAACAAAAGAACTCAGGAAAACACAAAAGTATATGGGGTCACAAATCATCTACCGACGAAGACGACAATAAGGAATGTGTTAAAAAACAACTACCTTTTTTGCCATTTAAAAAAATTGAGTATAAATATTTGGCTGAAACAGAAATTGAAGAGCAATTAGCTATTGAGAAATCCAAATTGGAAGAGGCTGAGGTGTTTTCTATGTACAGTTTTAAGAGATTAAGTGGGAAGAGGAAGCGAGAACCTTCAGAGAGCGCTGAAGATGAAATATATGAAGAAACACCAAAAGAAATTCCCCTAACACCCTCAAAGTCCCACAACCCTTTCGCAATCATAAATAATTCGATAAAAGACAAGCCCAAGTCTCCTGTATGTGCCAACAAATCACTTTTAAAATTGTTAAGTCCCAAAAAATGTTCTACAGAAGAGCCCAGCAATAAAGTGAAAAACAACAATGTCAAGGTTGACATCAAATCGCGATTTTTTGCACAAAACATAAAGCAGGCTGTCAAGAAGCCATTTGCTGCAAGAGACTTAACGCAGCAAATGTCTCAAATAGAGAAACAATCACAACATTCTTTGGCTATGCAAAGTCGACTATATGCTGACGAGACATCGCCGCAAAGTCAGAAAGATTCTAAACGAATAATTAGAACTGAATCAATAACAAAAATCGAGGAAACAAAAGAAACAATACAAAATCCACAAAACGATCAGGAGTTGACAATCGTGACAAAGGAGGAAATTGTAGAGATTTTGTCAGATGTCGAGGAGGAAAACGTTAGTAGTAGTCAATTAACATCGGTCACGGTCCGTATGTCATCACAACTCTCTCAACGCTCAACGTCGAGCAGTCTGTCGAGTAGTCAAAAAAGCATAGGACTTTCAAAACCAAAAAAACTACAAAAGTCCAGTAAAAATCTAAAAGACATATCAAGTGATTCTAAGCAGTCAACCTTAAGTATGTTTGGTTTTCAGAAACGACCGACATTAAAGAAGCTGTAAGTAGAAAAATAAACTAAGTTATTTTATGTTAGGTTCATTTCGTAAGCAATAAAATTAAATGATGTCTGATAATGTGCAAGTTAATATTAACATGTATATTATTAAGGACATAATTACGAAATCTTGAATAAATAAATAAAAAAATAAATAAATGAAAATAATAAGAAAATGATAAACATAATAATAATAATAATAATAATAGTTAAATTATAAATGATTATTCTGTGAATGTTATGATAGGTAGGGTTTTAACTAAAATTCCTGGTCCTTGATTCCATTCTAAACGGGATAGTAAAATGTCTTAACTGAAAGAAGTGCATTATTATTATCCTATGAAGGCTATGATAGTTAAGGAATTAACTAAAAATATTCTTTGATTCCATCCTAAAAAAATTGCAAAATATTTAATAATTTGAACAGCAATGGGCGCAAGTAGAAGAATTGAATAACGTACTTTGGCGATTCTTAGTGCGTCAGGTGACACTCAACAAGTATTGTGATCTTTATTTTGTTATCAACGCTTCTTTAATGTACTTTGAAGCAAAAACTAATGCATACCGTTGTAGATACACATATCCATAATTTCTAAAAACACGACATCTTAAATAAATAACAAATAAAGTCAATGAAATCCAATGCATACACAGCGTTATATTTGTACCACCTTATACACCTTTTGCGTGATGTATTTAAGTCACCGGCGTAGCCAGAAATGCCATTTGGGAGGGGGCCAAAGAGACAAAAAAATCGGATTCTTTGAGGCAAATATTTAGAAATAATAAGAAAATCTACGTCGGTTGTTTATGTGGTCCTCGAATTAGAATTGTCACATTTTTAGGTGATGACATACAAATAAGTAAAAGCACAGTATATATTGTTCCAGAACCTGCAAGAATCTACTATTTTTGCATTTCTTTTCGAAAACGTTTGCAGTTCTGGAACACACCAAAAATTTGTTTTGAATTAATTTAACTTACGGATCTTCCTTAATGAAATAATTTCGGTCATCGTATGCCAGTAACTCCTTCATTTCTCCTATGGTTATTCCAAACAGACGCCGAAGCAGGCTTTCTACTTGTTCATTAGCTACATTGGGTTTAATATCAGATCCAGGTTGGAGACATTTTTGATCGGTTCCATTTACAGTTTGAGCAGTAGAAGATGGTTCCTCATCCTGTGATGGCTTTTCGTTTTCATTGTTATTAAATGCGGAATATTTAGAACTTGAATCGTAACTGTGATTCAAGGTATACGATTTTCGTCGCGATATGCTTGTTAACTCGACATTATTCCACGTATCATCCATCTTAATTGGTCGGAAATATTCTACAATAAGAAATGAATAGTAGCAGTTTAGTATTTACATTATTCTAAATAGACGTTCAAAAAGATTCCTAAAAAAGTCGTTACTGTGTTGATCGGCAGTAGAAAATTTCTTTATTCAATTAAGAATGCACACACAGACGTTTCTGAATGCTTTAGGAGTTAAATAGACTAACCATTGGGACACTTCTATACAAAAAAAAAAATAATAATAAGCAGATTAAACAAGTGAAGACGACATAACTGATAATAAATAAAGTAGAATAAACAAACACCACAACACAAAATGTGTTTATTTATCTTTTCTTTGGATCATTAGTATTTTTGTCTTTGGCTGTGTATTTGTAAAAGCTTTTCACATTTTACGTTATGCATTGCAATTATAACTTTTATCACACGAAAAGGAGTTTCTTTGGAATGCTGAGATGTAAACAAAAGTGCAAATATAAAGACATTAAACGGATGTCGTGACCCATTTAATTTCAACCATCAAATGCTGTATGGAGATGGGTGCCATTACGTAGATAAGTGCAAGTATTCCTATGTAGATCTTCTTTTGGCAAAATTTACAAAATATATAAAAATGTCACACCAGCCACTTGCTTGTAATTTTGTAAAGTTTACTATTTCAAGATGAAATAAATTATTGTTCCAATATCACATTCACATAACTACAAATAATGCCACAATTTTGAGCAATTTTCATTGACCCAGTTTAAAGGAAACACAAAAATCTTTGTTCACATCCCAAACTGCAACGCATTTAACAGCAACATCTTACCACTGGAGTTGTTTATATAAATGTCAACTTATTTCAGTTGTTTTATTTTTAAAGCGTGGATGCGCTGGCCCAATAACACACGACAAAAGTTAAAAGTACAATCAACATATATGGAGAGATATATAGGAGAGGAGATATAGATGGCTTCTGAAAGTCAAGTTAAAAAGTAAACAATTAAACAAACATGTGATCAGAGACAGACTTAGACAGAGTTGCCAGGCATAGAGCGAATAAGATATGGTATACTTATAAAGGGATACTTTTACATTAATTATACCCTCCACCATTGTATTGAGGGTATATTAAGTTTGTCATTCCTCGAAATATACATTTTAGACGCCAACAAGTATATATATTCTTGATCAGCATAAAATTCTATGTCGCTTTATCGATGTTCGTCCGTCTGTGAAAATCACTCTAGCTTCCGAACGAATTTAGGCAGATTGATAAAATTTTACTCAAATGTATATTATGTCTGCAGGACTTTTGGTATTAAAAATGGGCCATATAGGTCCACATTTTGGTATAGCCCCCAAATATTCCCAATATTCGGCATTTTGATGATTTTAGCGATATTATTCATAGGAATTGTTTCAAATTTGGGATTTGAAGTTCGTAATGGATACTACAGCCCAAGACAGAAAATTGTCTGTGCAGGTCCACGACTTCGAATAGCCCTCATATAATGATACCTCCCGATATTCGGTACTTTGTTGATTTTTGCGATATTATTCACCGTTTTTTTTTTAAGTTTCGCATTTGAATATTGTAATGGCTTATGACAAAAGATACCTATGCAGGTCCACGTCGTCGTATAGACACTAATATAATGGCTACATTCAGTATTTTTAAGATTTATGCTAGGAACACAATTGGAGCGAACGACGAATTTTTTCGCGGCGTATGTTCGTCGTCAAAAATAAAACACATATGTGTATATGGAAGTGCACACAATCACGGCACCGGCGAAAATTTCGTCGGTCGCCGCGAACTCAATTAGCTTTATTTCTATTTCATACGCCGGCGACCGGCGAACAAAACAGTACAAGGTGGCCATACTTGTACGAATTTTATGTGTTTTAGTAAATACAGTTACTTTTTACTTTAAAATTTGTTATGGTCACTCTACTATCTGTTACTCGTATAAAAAAACATAATTAATTTGTTTATTTATTTGTGTACTTGCGCCTGAGTGAAGATGGATATCAGTGAATTTATAATAGAGAAGATGGACATAAGTGAAATTATAATAGAGAACGTAAAGAATTATGTGTTCTTGTATAATTCATTGTAGTCAACAAATGAGCAAAAAGTAAACAACTTCATCAGCTGTTTTATAATTTCGTCGGTATTGTGTTCCATACGACGAATTTTCGCGGCTCATTTTGTCGCCGCGTAGGGCGAAATTCGTCGTTCGCTCCAATTGTGTTCCTAGCATTAATAGAATTTTTAACAGATTTTTTTTTTTGAAATTTTCCAAATTTGTTCCAAATGATGGAGGGTATTCAAAGTTATAAATGTTAGTAAAAGTGTGGCACAAGTTGTGTTCCAGAAACAGCGACATAGTATTTATATTTATTCTTGTACTTTTTGCATTTTTTTTACTCGAACACCGCTCCCATAAAAGAAAAACTTATACAACTAGTAGACAAACCTGAGAATCTGCTACTTTTCAGTATTTTTTTTCTAAATCATAAAGGAAATTAGGGTTATTTTATTAACATTTTTTAAGTTCTGAATTATAGCAACTATTGCAGGTTCCGGAACGGAACAAAAGTAAAGGTAACATGCATATACTCCGCTCCAGAACTTGTAGATGCAATTTTCAATTAATGAAAAACGTCAATAGAATACAATTTTTGGTTCACTGCAAGGTAGAAGAATAGAAGCATTCTTCTACCATGGTTCACTGTAAATGTTATTCGAAAAACTGCTCTGTAATCATATTTTTATGCTAACATGTCACTGTTGTGAGCAGCGCCCCTATATATTTTTAACATTAACTATTTCTCCATTATGCATTTTGTCCAGTCTACCATTTTAGGTCTTTGAAGCAAGTGCTAGTCCCGTGGTTCATTTAATAAATACGCCAGCTGATTGCGTTTTCCTCATGTCTCATTCGTAGACAACAGATGTCTCAGGATTTTTGCTTTCTCTTTATTTTTTATCGTGCATCTTTTTTTTCCATCCTTATTTCATAAGTTGGGAACGTTTTTTATTTTTGTTTCCGACGCAATGTACCAAACAACCCGTTTTTTGAAGGGGGAGTTTTCGGAATTAAATCAAATAACTTTAAAAAAGACAGCATTTAACCTAAGGGAGAAGCGAATTCCAAAATAAGGCATTTATAGGTAAGCATAGTATTGATTCTAGACTGCATTTGAGCAATTGTTTCAAAATGCTGCAATAATTGGTAAACATATATAATTAAATATCTTATCAAACAATTTTTCAGATTTGGCGGCGTTTTATAAATAGGAAACGTATTCAATACAAACATGTCAATATTTGGCGACGATGGTGTTGATGATATATTAAATGAAAATGATAACAATGAACAATTATTTGGTGATGATGAGGCACAGGAAAACAATGAAGATGATGGGGCGACACCGGCTTCAAGTGGCTCCGCTGTAAAGGTGCAGCCAAAGAAAAGAACAGTCGTAAATCCAAGGCCTCGTCTCACGGAAGAAACTCTACGTGGGCCAAGGGGCTTACACACAATAGAGGAGTACTTCAAAGATATTAAATACAAAGGTAAAGGCTATGAAAAACAGGATCTAGATGAAATAATGAGACGTCTACAGCATTGGGGCCATAGAATGTATCCCACATACAAATTCGATGATATCCTCACAAATATTGAGCGTTTGGGCAAGAAGAAGACTTTACAAGTGCACATGTCACGTTACCGGCTGGGAATGCTTGAGGCAACAAAGAACCACGGCAATATGAATGAGGCTTCTGAAGATGCGGACGACGTGGGAGCTGAGGCGGCAGCCGACGAGCCATTCGATGAATTTGATGCCTTATTGGATGAACAAATTGCAATTTCGAAAATTGCTCCACGCACACCGGCCGCCAGTACATCGAAATATGCCACACCGAACCCTAATGTCACAAGAGACAGCAGTTCATCGTTTAGTACGCCATCATTTTCGAGAGGAAATGCCGTTATGTCAACTCCATACTCTGTCATACACAACATGAACGATACAAGTGATTTGGCTACACCGCTTCCACAAAGTCAGCCATCCACACCCGCCTCTAAACAATTGACTGCTGAGCAAATGGCTCGTATAGCAGAAAACAGGCGGTTGGCGCAAGAAAGATTAGCAGCCAAAAAGTTAGCCGCACAAAAGACTCAGGAATTGAATGGAAATGACTGATTTCATTTGAATACAGCATGTAATTGCGTCCTGTTTAAAATAATAAAATTTGTGTTACCACTAGAACTACATTTTAAAAAAATAATTTATATTTATTTAAAAAATTCAGGTATTCGTGGTGAGAAATATACAAAAATAATGATCATTTTTTACTATTTACATGATTCGATGGTGGTATTAATAGATAACTGAGTACAACTACGGGTTTAAATAAATATACATACATTAATATAATGGACAGACAAGCTCCTGAAATTAAGAAAAATTTCGTTCGAAGTAATACATTGGGAAATCTAGAAATACAAGGGACAAGGTAGGTTTGTTTATAAGGAATGCCATAATACACTATGCCACACATTTTTTAGGAGACATTTACATGTGCCAACGATTACGTTGTGGAAAATTTAAGTACAATTTGTGGTAACAATGCCAAAATATTCTTAGCTTGTTCTACAATGCTAGGAGTATGAACGGCTGGTGACTTTTGCGACAGTATCTCGGAGCTTTTGCTAGACAGTGCTTGCTTTAGAACGGGATCACTTTTCTCATTCACAGTCTCATCTATTACTTGCAATAGACGCTTGTAAAGGAACGATTGTCGGAAAATGGGCTTCGAGAGACTGAGATGGTCATCTTTCAGAACATAAAAGTCACCATAATTTATGCGTGCAGATTCTTCGGTTACAATGCGCAAAGGAAATTTAAAGGATGTCAGCATGGTGGGCTTTCCTTCGGCAATGCTAACCACTTTGATGTTGCGGAAACAGGTACGTAGGCAGTTCATAAATTGTTCGTGTAATTCTAGAAGGCGTGGCGCGTTTTCCTCCATTTCCTTTACCTCAATGGAGGGGGAAAGTATCATTTGCATATGTTGCTTCCATTTGGCTATGGGAGAGCCTCTGTGGGGTGTGCCAAGGAATACAATGCTGCTGGTATTTTGGGCGAGTTGCTGCACTTTGGGATCTTTACTGTCTTTGGCTTTCATCAGAATTAACTTTGTAAGAATACCTCCCATTGAGTGACCAATCCAAACAACGGGCCTGTCTTTGCCTATATCAGACATTGAGATACGCTCTAGTAGAGAATTGGCTCTGGTCTCTATGTGTCCTTGTCCCTTTTCACAGGGACAATATTTGGTGAAGTTGGCTGACCATTCGGTTACAGCCGAGGTGTAATCTATGCCTATTATTCTTGTATTTGGATGATCTTCTGGTAACCATTCCATTGGCCAGCAATTGGTATAGTCCTCTTCGTTGTCTTGATTTATCCAATCGTTGCCGGATACACTAAATTCGCCGGAACAATTTTCATTTGCAGCCAAAGGAACATCCGGATGTACAACTTCCCAATCGGCCTCTAGTTCAGGTTCACTTTTCAGGGATTCCACCAATTCCTTGGTGGCTGCATCACTTATAGCCAAAGGTTTACTTGAAGATTTAGTGTGGGCTTTTAATATTTTCTTCTTTTCATCGGTGACTTCCTTTTCTTCATGCTGGACAGTTGATTCATTGTCTATATTCTTCTCCGTTTTGTTCTTATTTCCATTTGCATTCTTTTTCAAATTTAAACGCCGCTGTTCGCCAACCAAGAAAACATCATCGGTTTCACTGGTGTAAAATGCATTTTTACCATAGAGACCCAATTCCGTTGGTTTGCGATCCTTCTGGCGCCATGTTATGAAAACTCCTCCCAAAAGCCCATGAATAAAAATAATATCGGCCTTTGGTTTGGTACGAGTTCTCAAACGTGGATGCAATGGATATACATTGGGCGGATAAACAGTGTAATTGGGATCGTCGTGGTCAAGATTTGCCATAGTTTTTGCAGAGATCACTTGTAGTCTTAGATCGGGACATTGCTGCCATTCGGCTAATACTCCAATCCAACCACTAACAAAGAAATGCTCTACACTATCCTTAACCAAGGATATATTTGCCAAAACTTTACAGAGTGTCGAAAGGGTCTCATTGTCATCGGCAAATATTTTTGCCAATTCCATTAGATGTACCAGACCGCCCTCTTTGATAATTTGCTCTGAGACTTCGGGTTCTTTGGTCACGTGATGTAAAAATGCAATAATTTCCTTAAGCAAATCGGTTTCATGGACATTGAATGAGACGGGATGGTCCTGGGTAAAGAATTCGCATACGTCCTCCTGAAAGCCAAAACAAAATATTGATAATTAATACCAAATATTATTAAATTAATAGCTAGAAATTACTCCGCAAAAACTGATATATGTATTATTTATAGCTATTTATCTTAAATTTGCTACTCAATTCAGAATATAAAAAATAGCTGATTTTTGAACCTAATCGCATGAGCGGCAAATACCAATTATTTATCTTATCGCAAATACCTTCCTATGAAGCAAAAATTTATTTTGGTATCGACATTTTTGCTTACCACGGGATCTTGTTCCGGAAAATACTTTTTAAAGAAATGTTTAACACAGAATTTGGCCGAGTTCAGGTGTGACAATAAATCATGCAACTCAGACAGTACCAGTTTGGGATTCTTGATGCAACCCTTCATGTGAACGGGTACGAACCAACGTTTATCGGCACCAGATCGGGCCAAGGACACAGCGGTGCGTGCATCACATATTTGAGCCAAGTGACGAAAATCCCAGTCTTTCAAATGATCGATGCTCGCCAATTGCCGAACAGCCTTCAAACGGTCGTGATGACTTCCATTTTGGGCAATATCCAATAAACGCCATGCAACGGAATGTTTCAAAGCCTTCCACCATTTACCAACCGGATTTACAATGACGCTAATCCATTTCTTATCGTCTTCTTCCTTTTGTTTCAATTTTCTCATCGATTCCCTATAGATGTGATATTTGATATAAATGTAGTCAGGTTCAGATTTATCTCCATTATTGCCCTTGTTCGTGTCAACAATTTTCGATAGAAATTTTTTAATTCTATGTTTTTCGTATAAAATAAGGCCACATCTGCAAAGAAGAAGATGGAGAAAAGGAGATATTAGTTAGTACCCGTTGCTGGATATAAAAAAAAATAAAATATTTAAGGCGCAATAGCATAATCATGCTACTGTTTACTAACAAGAGTGTCTAAACAACAACAACAGCAATAGTTTGTCATTGCTTTCGAAAAAAGCACGCCACCCTATCTATAAATAAAACGGTCGATCAATTTTATAGCAACATGCCTAGATATACAAATGCGTATGTATGTATGAATTTTTGCGTGTGCCATTTCTAGGGATATGTTCTTATATATCCTTTTCAACTGAAATAACTGAAAGTGGAGAACAACTCTAGTTAAGTAAAAAGTCTTCGAGAGAATATCTCTGGACCAAGAAAAGGTATTAGCACAAATTGTAGCATTTTGGAAGATAACAGTGTCAGCAATAATTTGGCCTCAATTCGGTTGATCCCCATAATGGGCCCCTTTTCGACTTTTTGGGGGTTTTATACAACATCCGGGTCCAAAAAATCGATAATTTGACTATAACTTCCGAAAGCCTTGTTTGATAGGTATTTTCATAAGCTTTCCAACGATACTTATATTGTCTATATCGGGTAAGTGGATCCGGTTCTAGTTGGGGTCTTGAAACCGGACTTTCGGGTCAAAATAGTTTCCCTAAATCAAGGTAAAAATACCTAAATCTGGAAATTTTGGAAAAAATCGAAGACTTTTTAATAAAATAGATTTAAGCCAAAAGTGAAGAAATGGAATAGGCACTGAATAATTCTAAACAATAAAATTTAAATGATTTCCCTCTAATATAGTGACCTGCCCCCAACCAACCCATTATCAAGCAAAAATGTACTTGAAATGTTAGTGCGTCACAAACTTCATAAAATTCCTCCTCAACACACTTTTGGAAGTGTGGCTATGTGTTCTGTATTTGGCCTTGGCGAACGCAACTATGGCAAGCGAAAAGAAAAATATTTAAGTCTGTCTCTTTTCAACAAAATCGAATGTTTTGTTTTGATCGCTAATATTCAACACAATGAGTAATGGGCAAGATATCATACGATATAGAAATTCTTAGTGGATATGACTTTAGTGGTAAAGGAGCACTACGACATGAAAAAAAAAAATTATTCGTAAACACTATTTTTAACTGCAAAAAAAATGTTTACAAAATGATTTCTTGCATTTGTTGACGTCGTTAACAAGTTGTTTTCAAAACAATTTTAGTTCGTAAACAACAACAACCACAAAAACAATGCAAGATAAGTGACGTAATCAGATCAAAACAAAAACAACACACGGAAGTTATTTTAGACGCAATTGGGTATATTTAAACGATCGTCGTAGAGAGAGACGAGCCCCCATAATTCATATAAATTGCGTAGTCTGCATGTGCCATCGAAACGAATGCGGGCATGCACAAAGTTTCTTATTTTTCTACTGAGTCATTGCAATGCAATTTTGCAAATTGCAACACACAATTTGTCATATCTCAAACTTGGACTTTTTTACACAAAACACAAAAATTACAACAATTGCCAGTGCAATACTTACGTTGTTATTATGCCAACACCGCCAAGAGTCTTTCGATAACGTAAATTGTTCATCGAACACAAAAAATTTCTTTGCACTTCGAAGGAATTTAGGAACAAATTAGTCTTTTTTTCTCCTTTTCCTTTGTTGAACAACAATCACAAATTTAATAAAATGAAATTTTTATTTTTATAAATGTTTGTACTTTTGTGCCGCTAGTGACACGACTGTCTGTATTACTTTGTTCACTTTCTCTTATGTCTTTCGTGTACTATTTATTATATGTTTTCTCGATGAAGTCAAAGAATTTATTTTTACTTCGTCGTTTTCTTTTTTATTTATTTTTTTTTTCTTCTCACTGAACTTATCGCTTGTATGGTTAATTGTTGAATGTGGTTCATTTGCGAGACCATCTCAATCGTTGGTTCTGTTCGCGTCGTTTTTCGACACGATTTGTTTTCGTCTTCGTTGTGTTGTTTACGTTTCATTCGTTGTTGTTTACATCGTGTTTTTGTTTTGATTCGTTAGGGAATAAACAAATGTATGGGTGGGGTAGTTGGTTATTTATCTTTCGATTAATGACGTCTTAAGTGGTTCATATCCAAAACAATAAAACGTCAAATGTATTTTGACGCCGTCGTGGGGACGGCTTTGATTTATAACAGTTTGGGACATTCCTCCGTTCATAAAAGTACGTTTAGATATACGAAATCTAAATAAATGAAAACCACGAAAACTGAATGGAAGGTCAAAATTTCTTTTCAATATCATGTTCTATATATCTCTAAAGGTTTATTTCGCTACAAAACGTTGCATAGTAGAAGAATATGGGTAGACGCATCGACACAGCTGCTGGAACAATGACACAATTGGAACAATCTGACTAATTTTGGAATTGAAAATGTTGAACGAAAAATTATTTAAATTCGTAAAATTCGTTGGAAAATTCATGTCCAATCTAGTGTCGTATAAGAAAACTTATAAAAATTTATTTCTTAAAAGAATAAAAAACATTTTAAAAATCATGGCGTATCAATGTTTTCCTGTATTTTTCTTGCCATAGTAACCCACACTTGCCGATTAGTTAATTGACAGCCTCATGGAAGAAAAATACAGGTAGATGCATCAACGCTTGGGAGCATTGATATGTCAAAATAATTTAAATGTTTTTTCAAATATAAGTAGATTTTTAAATGTTTTCTTATAAGACGTCATTCGGATGTTATTATAATTCGCGTTTTTCAACAATTTTTACAAATTTAAATAATTTTTCATTCAACATTTTCAATTAAAAAATTGATTTGACAGTTCATTATCTCAGCAGCTGTGTCGATGCGTCTACCTATATTCTTATACCATGGACAGCCTGCTAGTCAACGACGACGATTACTCACTCACAATTGTTTGCTGGCATACATGCATTCATGGATAGGGTCCCCCTTTCAAGCCAGCTGAGTACCAAATGTTATGTCAAAATGTATATTGTGATTGAAAATAGAGGACAAAAGATAAAAAAAATATTTTCTTATTTCAAATTTTTGTTTTTGATTTATCTGAGAACTACACAACAACAAAAGACCAAAACAAGCAAAACAAAGGTACGTCTTGTATTGGTTAAAGAGTAAATGTCTATTATTTTATATATTTAATATTTTTTTATAGATAACATACACCAATTAGATTGATGCAATTACCTCTCTTCGTATCTACAACAATTCATATATTTATTGAAGGAGAATCAAGAATTTGCTCCTGGCAGAGATAATTTCTTTACCATTTATGCCTTTTATGCAAGGCAATGTCCAAAAAGGATGTGGAAAAGTCAAATAAAAATACATTGGAAGAATGTATAGCGAGTGAAGAATATGCTGCAATTTCTGAAAATATTTTATCATCACCTACCCTGCCCACATTCCATAAGAGAAAGCATGATATTTTCAGGCGGCTACAAACTGCGGTTTCCCAATGCAATATTCAGTTTAGTGGGCGTAAAGAATTGGCCACTGAGCAGAACAAACATGTGGCAAATCTATGCGACACCTTGGAGATAGCCTTTCAGTATGGCTTAATACAACAACAGCAACAACAACTGCCAAATCTGGTGGCATCAGCAGCGGCAAATCTGTTCCAAAATATGCATGAAATTGTAACTGGGACATCGAAAAGTATCCTAAAGGCCACGAATACCACGACGGCATTTACAGATCCATGTTTTTGGGATTTTTGCAAGGTATTCCTTACGGCTCACGAGCGTCAGAGATTTACGGAATTGAAACAGACGTGGACCAAATGGGGCAAAGGTCGTGCATTTATACGTGCTTCCCTCAATGAACATTCCCTGCATAGATACATCCTAACGTGGATCTCCGATAGACAAATGTTACATGCCCACTACAATAAGTGGGCCTTGTTGACAGATGAAACTATAACATCATCCCTTCCAGATCTTATAAAATCATTGGATAACGTGTTATTTGCATTGGTCGTTGATAAAACAGAATTAAATTCGGCTATTAAAACATATCAGCCCGCTTCAGACGAATTTGCAAGAGAGGAGCCTGTTATTTATGCCCCGACACCTGTAAAGATAGAACCAAAGGTCAAAGGGAAATCAGCCATAGTCGAAAGGCCAATCCAAACATTTGGCTCAACAGAAGACTTACTGCAACAGCTTCAAGTGGATACAGATATCATTAGATCTGAATATCCAGAAAACAGTTGTACTGTCTCCGAGATTATTATCACCGAGGAGACTGAGAGTGGCATTAAAGAGAGCTCCGATCCGATTCCCTTCATTAATGCAAATGCAACAGGGGAAACGAAATGCGAGCCTTCTAATGATGTAGAAGCAGAATTGAAATTGCTCAAGAAAACATTTCTAGAATTTAGCTCAACATTACCAAGTAGTGATGACGATCTCAACAAGGAAACACCGAATTCTGGCGAATGTATCGCAACGTCACCAGAACTCCAAACACCATTGCCCAATGGGGACGTGAATGATATCTGTGTTGAAAAAGAATTGGAATCACTCAAGAAAATCTTTAAAGAATTCACAACAACATTGCCCAGCGAGGATAATAAAATTGAAGCCAAAAGTCCCACATTATTATGTTACAGTGATAGCAATGGGTCGCCCAATGAATTGGAGTCCGAATGCAATAATCCCACGCATTTAATGCTACAAAAACAACTGAGAGAGGCTAATAAAAAGTGTTCCATGCTAGATACGAAGGTAGCCGAATTAACATTGGAAAATATTCAATTAATGATGCGTCTCAAAAAGTACATGGATAATTCAAAGATAAAGAACGACTCTCTAGCAAATACGAATACGTAGCAGAATACTGGTATTTGTGAAACATATCAATATTAACTATTTACAGAGAACAAATACAAAGAACAAATTGTACATAATTTGATATTAAAACACATGTAAAATTAGATGTACATAATATATATGGGAGTTTGGACCCGGGGACCAAATGAAGAGATTTGATATTTGTAATATTTTTGGTATTTGGTATTATGTACGGCAAATTGTTAAAAGTATATATTACGAATGGAATATTAATAAATGTAGTTTACTTTTGTTTTATATTTTGTCTTCTTAATAAAAGTTGTACAATGTCTCCCATAACTGCCATCTCTGTGATTGAGTGCACTGTTGTCTTTAGCAGCAGCATTTTCGTTTGTAAATTACCGTTCACAATTCAGCCATTGCTGTTTGAGTTTTTCGTTTCATATGAAGGTGTGCGTATGTGAAATCGATGCATTTGTCGCAAATTTTACAAGGAATCAACACCATACCAATTTATTATTTTTTCTCAGATCTTTTTTGGTCAACAAATTTAACAATGGTCTCCATAATAAAGAATACCGAAGATTTCGAAAAGAAACTGGCAAATGCTGGTGATAAATTAGTAATACTCGATTTCTATGCAACCTGGTGTGGTCCGTGTAAAGAAATGGATCCTCATATACGCAAATTGACTCAGAAGTACAAAGATCAAGCCATCGTATTGAAGATCAATGTGGACAAATTCAACGAGATCAGTGATTATTATAAAGTGAAGAGTATGCCAACGTTTGTTTTTATTAAGAATAAAAAACGTTTATCGAGCTTTGCTGGCGCTGATGACGAGATGCTGCAACAGAGAGTGGAGCAATATGTCAATTAGCCGCCGTTATTCAATAAGTCATAGTTGATTTGTTTAATGTTATTGTTTCTAGAGTAATATACACTTGCCGCTGGTTCGTTTGATTGTCACTTTTGTTTTTATTTATTTAAAATTCCATTTATTACTATTAATAAAAACTTAATAAAATGTTTTTATAAACTAATATAAATAATTGCAATATTTCTTTAAAACAAATTAGAAAGTCCTACCATGTTGGCCCCCTCAAACATGACTCGCATGTATCTGGAAGCTATATATCTAATTCTCCATCGATCTCGATTGACATCGATTGACATGCTTGCTTCTAGGTTGAATTCGGCCGTAAGTGTCAAAATCCAATCCAATTTTGGCTGATATTCGCCAAAATTCCGTCCATTGGCTGTCTGGCTGGTGCGCACGATATCTCTCAAAGGGAGTTGTATACGATTTGATCCAAACTTGCTACATCATAATATTGTAGAATTTCGATTTCGGATGTGGGTAATATCGAACCGCTCCTTCTGTTAATTAGTCCACAGAAGGCATGTATTTACACACAAAATAATTTATCGTCTAGAACAAGAAATGATCATCCAATTTAGTGCAAACTTTGCTATGTCTATGTGCTATGGCAGGTCGGAAAATGCACAAAATCGGCTCACTATCATGTACGTAAAAATATTGAATAATTATAACGCTCATAAAATGGGAAATAAGCATCAGATTCTCTTCAAATTTCACACACACACCAATATTTCTACCAAGATTGGATATATCGGCTCACTCCTGGTACCACCCTCACAATGCGGTTAACATTTTGAATAAATGTTACCTCACGCATATTTCATAATTCTCCAAAAATTATCACATATCTCACATAAAGAGAAGGAACTAGTGGGTATAGTCCAAATTGGCCACGGTTTAATATTTATATAGGTCTACTCGTTCGGTATTTCCTCCATAAAAAGCAACAACACAGGCTGAGGGTACACACCTTTTATCTTCTTTTAGTTTGTTATTTGCAAATTTTAGGCACACAGTGAGGTATTAGATAGGTAACAAGTAAGATGTGCTTTTTGTGACGCAAAAAAAAAGAAATTTTGACCTCTCATTTACTTTTCGCGTTTGGTTTATTATACCCTCCACCATAGTATGGAGGGCATAAAATGATCTGCATAAAACTCTATGTCGATTTAGCGGTGACCTTCCGTCTGTCCGTCTGTGGAAATCCCTCTAGCTTCCGAAAGAAATAAAGTAGGTTGATAAAACTTTACTCAAATGTGTATTATGTCTGCAGGACCTTTGTTATAGAAATCACCCAATTTCTATAACAAAAGTCCAAAAGTAGGTCCACGTTTTGGTATAGGCCCCATATAATGGTACCTCCCTTTTTTCGGTATTTTGGTGATTTAAACGACATTATTCACCGGAAATATTTAATTTGATATTGGTATTTGAATTTCGTAATGGGTACTACAGCCTATGACAGAAAATTGTCTGTGCAGGTCCACGTTTTCGTATAGCCTCCATATAACGGTACCTCCCGATATTCGGTGTTTTGATGATTTTAACGACATTATTCACCGGAATTGTTACAAATTTGGGATTTGAAGTTCGTAACGGATGCTACAGCCTATGACAGAAAATTGTCTGTGCAAGTCCACGTCTTCATATAGACCCCATATAACGGTACCTCCCGATATTCGGTATTTTGATGATTTTAGCGACATTATTAACCAGAATTGTTTCTAATTTGGTGTTTGATGTCCGTAGGAAATACTACAGCCTAAGACAAAAAATTGTCTGTGCAGGTCTACGTTTTCGTATATCCCCATATAACGGTACCTCCTCAACGAATTTTTTATTCAAGTTTCGCATTTGAATATTGTAATGGTTTATGACAAAATTTGCTCATGCAGGTCCACGTCGTCGAATAGACCCTAATATAACGGCTACATTCGGTGTTTTTGAGATTTTAACAGAATTTTTTAAGGAATTTATTTTTTTGAAAATTGCCAAAATCGTTCCAAATGGTGAATGGTATTGAAAGATCAGCCCGGCCGAACTTACAGCTTTTTTACTTATTTATTTCTTAAAAATCAGTGCTACAAGTTGTTTTGTTCATTTGATACAAAGCAATTTGTTGCATTTAGTTTGATAGCAATTCTGACATTACAATTCAATGCAGAGGTAGAATTGAAAGATTGAACACTTAGGATCATATTTTTGAGAGAACGTTCAGACATTTCATTCATATTTTGCGCTATTTGACTCATTTTAAAAATCAACAAAAAAAATCAAATGAATGAAAACAACTTGTTGCCTATAATTTTGAATAATTCTGACAGGAAGCGGCATAGCCTCTGAGCTGTATTTCTGTAGTTTTACGAAACTGTTCTACATCCTAATTGTACCATAGTTATACCGTTTTATACATGCGAAATAAATTTAATGTTACCCTTTGTAATATTTCTCACATTTTAACTCGCACTTGTATCAATTTTTTTTTACCAACACCAACAGATTAAAACAAACCCGAATAATTGAGTTTGATATAATTTTGTTTTATTGAAAAAAATATAATATTATAAGTATTCTTATATTTTTAAAAACAAAATATCAAAAGAACATCAATAGAAACCAAACTAACCCAAAAAAAAAAAGAAATATAGAAAAGGTAAAATTTTGTAAAAGCACAGCAAAGTACCGATTTTGAAATAAATGTAATTTTGTTCTATGTACACAAAGGTAATCGGTATGGTATATATATATGTATGTTTGTTTCAAGTTATTAACATATGGTTTAAAATTAAAAAGAGTTATTGTATAAGGAAAATTAATAACTAGAAGAGGGACACATTTGAGTTTTTGTTTTTTGTTAGAAATATATAAGGAGCGGGGGGTCTTGAAAATTGGATATATCCATATCATTAGAATTAGATGGTATAGCTTTGTGAAATTGCATTCCCGTTGTTTTCCAAACATGTTTGGAATTAGAAAAATAAATATGCGTCTATATGTATGTTTAGACGTATGTTTTTTATTAACATAGCGATTTGTTTTATTCTCGTTTTTGTTTTTTCTCTTCTCTTTTTATAATTATTTATATTCTCAGAAAGCTTATATGTTAATTTTTCTTATTCCTAGTTTTGTTTTTTAAATAAGTTAGAAACTAATCTCTAAATTCTACATATTTTTAATATTTATATCTTACTTTGTTTGTATGTGCGCGGGTCAATTTTTTATCAAGATTTATAATGCTCTTTAGTTGCGGCATTGTTGTAATAATTGCTAAACATTATATAACCATATTAAAAATAAAAAAGAAAAACAGAAAGTTATTTTACGGTGAAAAGGGGGAAAAATAATTATATTTGTGTGTATTGGCGATTAGCAAAAGGGAATAATAAATGCTTGCCTAAAATTGAATCCCTTAATCGGAACATTAACTTTGTCCCAGTTGCATTACGTGAGAAGGATTAGTATTACCAACATAAGCAACAGATGTAAAACTGGCAATACATGTTTACAAAACATAAACTCCACATAGGTAGTTGTTGATATTTAAAATATTTGTTTTTTTTTTTCAAAATTAACAATTTACCGAAATGCAGAAAAAAGCCTATGAATATTTTTTACAACTATTCTAAAAATAAGAATTATACTATAAATGAGAAATTAGTGGCTTACGATGACGACGACGGGCCCAAGTCACGATTAAAAGTATTTACAGGTTGCAAGGAGACTGTTGGTGACGAGGGGGTGTTGGCGGAATCTCGTCGTCTCTTGTGTGGAGGTGGACTATGCGGGCTAACGGATGTTGATGTTGGATTATCGCCATCTTCTGTGTTGTAGATTTCTGCCGGGCTATCGGTTGAATGTCTCTTTTTCTGTTGTTCCGCTGCTGGGTTGATTGTAATAATATTAGTAAAGGTAGTCGTTTCACTTTGGGCTGACGTTGTCATCATTGACGTTGACGTTGCAGAATTTGCAGTTTCATCTGCCTGAACATCGCCGGAATTTGTCTCCTTAGTAATCTTAGAATTAGCACAATCTTCATCATCGTCTTCCTCATCATCATCCTCCTCTTCGGAGTCTGAACACCACGATACTTGGGCACCAGGAAATACATAGGACGAAGATACATCATGTGCGTAATATGTACCTTTGTACAACCTCTCAGCAGCACTTTGACGTTTTTGCTTTTTACGGATACTTTTTTCGCCATCTTTGGATTCATCATCTGTAGCCGCTACTGTTTTGGTTCCATCAAAGCTGTTTGCCATTGTTTTCTTGTTCGGGATTGCTTGTGTTGAGGTTGCGGGCATATTCAGGCTTTTCTTAGTATCGCCTGTTTCAGAAAACCCACTATTGAAGACAGGAGTCGTCGCCGAATTGGAGGCATCGCCTAAAATACCACTATCTTTTGATGAGTCGATAGACAGGTGACGATAATCACAAGAACCACCAAAATCTGTGGACTCAAGAGGTTCATCTAGATAATCGGGGCAGAGAAATTCTCCGTCTCGCTTTATGGATGATGTTGATGAAGTTTCAAAGCCGGAATCGGAATAATTTGTGCCAGACTGCAACATTAAATCATTGGATTGGCTGGATTTTATGGAAACGCAGTCATTATCCGTTGGCGGATGTGTTCCTTTCATACTGCTTTCACAATCCCCTTCGTCATCATTCAATGCCATTAATTCGTTAGATTCTTGCAAAATTTGATCATCAAAACAAATATCTTGCCAATCCTCTCCCAGACGATGGCAGATTTGATTAATAATAACATCACCATCTCCCAACAGTTCAACATCGAACTCCAGGTGGTGTAGTTGTTCGCGATTAATCAAGATCTGTGGTACATTATTCGGTATTGAGCTGGGAATCAATGCTACTGGTCGGACTTTAAGTGATGAACCCATAACAATCAGTAGATCGCATTTATCTTTGTCACTTGCCATGACAGTGTGGAATTCTTCTGGTAATCCTAAAAAAAGAAAAACAAATTGTTTGATTTGCCACATACGTTCAAGGCAACGTGCTCTTACCTTCTCCAAAGAAGACAATGTCAGGTTTCATTATGCCGTTCTCCACAAGCTGTCGTAGTCCACTTTCAGATACCGGTTGGGAAGCATCCACACTCTGTTCAACATTGGGCTGGCAACGTGGGCACACAGGTATACGCTGGGCAAAGATGTCTGCCCGTATACTCTCTGCATCACATTTGTATTTGCATTTGGTGCACGAAGCTGTCGAAAAGGAGCCGTGACACTCAATGACATTTTTTATGCCGGCCACCTGTTCTAATGTGTCTATATTCTGGGTGTAGTTCCTTAACAATTTTTGTTTTTGTTCCAGCATTTTTATAAATCGATGGCACGGTGACGGCTTAAACTGTCCCGGATAAATTTCGCGGGCAAATTTGTAAAACGGTCTCGGATCTCGGGAAAAATAATTGATATCAAACATGGCCTGCGGATCGGGTAAGTTGGGGAAATCTTTGGCCAATCGAGAATATATACCATCTGAGGATCTAAAATCAGGTATACCACAAGATACTGAAACACCGGCACCAGTGAGAACAATAATATTCTTGGATTTGTGTAGTAGATCGATAACATCATCGAATGTATTGACGTATGAAAGCTTTTTGCGCCTGGGTGGTTCGGCCATCATACTGGCCAAAATACGCCATAAAGTCATATCTGTCAACTCAGGGCTGATACGTTGAGCTGATGTGGGCAAGAACTTTGACAAAATTTCCCGAGGATTTGCCCCCGAATGTATTTGCTTCTGAACCCAGTTCAATGGGCGACTAATCGGTTTCCACTCCTTGCCGGACATATCTGACAGACCACTTAAATCGGAGTAGTCCGAGTCTGAGGAAGAATCATCCGAATCTTCGTCGTCATCATCTGCGTCTTCTTCATCATCATTGACATCGTTGTCGTTATAGCTGCTGGTATTGAGCTCTGTACCACCCTGCGACGATTGCTCGGAATGTGTAATATCTTCAGTTGAATGTTTTGATGCGCCGTGGAAAACATCTTCCACCGACAACTCTCCTTCTGTGCACTCCTCCGAGTCTTGTCTCTCATCTACGCTTACTGGAGGAGTGTCTGCGATTGAAGAACCAACTATTTCTAAATCTTCTGTGGAAAGCGTTGGCGGTAATGTTATTGTTTGTATTTCTTTCATTGAGTTTGTTTTGATCTCCTCTTCGCTGGTCGAAATAAGTGCAGACGATGACATTGTTGTTGTGCTTATAATATTGGCGCCAAAATTAAAATTTTGTGTTTTTACATCGACATGTTCAAATACTGACTCCTCGGGAAAGTTTATCTGATGAATATCGCCGATATCCTTCAAACGCTCTGTGGGCAATCTCGCCTGTTCATAGTTGTTCATCATTTCTAGTGGCTCAGTCTCGAAACTACCACAGCCCAAATCCTTGCTAACTAAATACGAAAGCACGAGTACAATTTTTATCTCTTTCACACTTAATCGCTCTATCTCTCTCTAACCTTTGGTGCGAGATTGGTCTTTTTAGTTTTATTGCTTTATACTTAATTTTTGGTGGTACATACACAATAATTTTCCATCAATCGTCTGGTGTTGATGATTCATCAAAAATTATACGACTCCAAGAAAAAAAATTTCCAACGTTTTTTAATTGATCAATGTTACAATATTTATTTGCGTAATATTTTTATACAATTTTATCTATTTAATTTTGGAAATTTTTACTCTTTTTTCATCAATTCTCTTCAAAACACAGCACAGCAATAAGATGGCGACGATTGAGTCCGTCCATTCACCAACTATATTAGGGTGATGTTAGTCGACTTTGGACTCAACGACTTTAGTTAAAAAGTGCGGGAGCGAGAGAGAAGAATAAAGAGAAAATGAGGAAAGCAAATAGAGTACACACTATCGATCAAGTACTACCGTCACGAATCCTATTTCGTTTTGTTGTAATAAGGAAATAAACTATCAGATGACATGTGTTTTACACATAAACTATCAAATCTGTATAAAGGATTGTAGAAATCGCATATAATAAATTCATGCATTCATATAACGTGTGAACTTCTTTCGACTATAACGCGCACAATTTTCATCAGACAAACCTAATAAAAAATTTTGTTGCTGAAGAGCCGTACAATATGAAAACCAAGAGAAACGATAAAAGGGGGGATTACATAAGAGTTTTTTTATTGGAATAAGTTATGGGCTGGCTTTTAAAAAAATGTTTAAAATATGAGATGAAATTGAAATAAATCAAGCTGCATTTAATCGGCTTGCTTTTGTCATAGCTACTAGTTTTTTTGCTTGCAGATTTTTGCAATTTTTTTCGATATCATAAAGTAAAAATGGACTTAACATTCTTACAGTTCTGGAACAGACCAATTATGGAGCTAAATTGAAACATGTCAACCTATTTTAGTTTGTTGTAGTTCCAAGGTCAATTTACAAAAGTCCTTTTACCTTACGAACAATGACAAAGAAAAATAATTGAATATTATGCCATGTTTACGTTAGAACTTTTTGTAGGGTTAACCTACTTTGAGAGGATTTATTTGAAGTAAAAGTAATGGAAATACAAGTTAAATCCAAATCCAGTGGGTTTACCCCTTATATATATAAACGTACTGTTACTGAAAAACAATTTGATATTACCTAAAAGAAAGAGGATAACAAACGAATTAGGAAGCAAAAATTAACAATAATATATGATATTGTTCTGTTCTAGAACTACAAGAACGTAAAGTATCTGGAAAAGAGAATTTCATGGAAGATATAATTATTTATTGTTTTTGCAATTGCCGTGACGAAAAATTCAATTTCGAATTTCCGCAGAAACTTGGAAAGGAAAAAGGCACATATTTGATAGTTTGCATATCGAATTGAATTGGAAAATAGTCAAATAAAAAAATATATTTTAAATGTCAAAATTTTAGAAAAATCATGATTATGCCTAGCCATGATGCCATGCTGCTTATGTAACGTCACTTTAATGCTTTCATAACCTTCATAATGCCAAATTATATGGGGAAACTACGGCAGGATTCGATTGCGCCTCTGACATCCCCTTGTGATATGTCAAAAAATTGGCCATCGAAGACTTCAAGCTGCTTATGTACTCACACTTTTATAGTTAAGCATTATTGGAAGTTCTTTGTAGTTTTAATTTAATAATCCAAATGTCAAAAATGTAAAATTTTTAAATAACTTATGGTTTTATTTACATTTTTGGAAATATTATTTACATTTTTGACACTAGCATTGATGCAATTTTTTAAACATTTTTTTTTTACAAATAATTCGACTTGTATATGTTTTTCTTTTCCACCAATGGGATGTATTTACAAATTTGAATAATGTTTCATTCACAAATTTCACTTCCAAAATCGGTTTGACAGTTCATAGTCCCAGCAGCTGCGTCGATGCGACTACCTATATTCTACCATTGGCATTAGCAATACTTACAATAAACAAGTAAAAATGCAGTAAGTTCGGCGGGGCGAATTTTGAATATCCTCTATCATTTGGAACAATTTTGGCAATTTTCAAAAAAAAAAAAAAAAATAATAATCATAATAAAATCCGTTAAAAATTCTGTTAAAATCTTAAAAATACTGAATGTAGCCATTATTTTAAGGTTTATATGGCGACGTGGGCCTGCATAGGCAACATGGTAGAAGATTATAGGTAGACGCGTCGACACAGCTGCTGGGACAATGAACTGTCAAACCAATTTTGGAATGGAAAATGTTGAATGAAAAATTATTTAAATTTGTAAAAATTGTTGAAAACGCGAATTATAATAGCCTTCGAATGACGTAGTATAAGAAACCATATAAAAATCTACTTATATTTGAAAAAACTTTTGAATTTTTATTTGCATAAAAATGTTCCCAAGCGTTGATGCATCTACCTGTATTCTTCTGCCATGATAGGCAACTTTTGTCATAAACCATTACAACATTGAAATGCAAAACTTGAATATGGGGAGGTATCGTTATATTGGGGCTATACGAAGACGTGGACCTGCACAGACAATTTTATGCCATATGATGAAATATCCATTACGAACTTCAAACACCAAATTTGAAACAATTCCGGTGAATAATGTAGCTACCGTTATATGCGGCTATACGAAGACGTGGACCTGCACAGACAATTTTCTGTTATAGGCTGTAGTACCCATTACGAACTTCAAATACCAAATTTGTAATATTTCCGATTAATAATGTCGCTTAAATCACGAAAATACCGTCAAAAGAGAGGTACGATTATATGGGGACTATACGAACACAAACAATTTTCTGTCATAGACTGTAATACCCATTACGAACTTCAAATACCAATATTGAAACATTTCCGGTGAATAATGTCGCTTAAATCACCAAAATACCGATAAAAGGGAGGTACCAGGGCATAAAAAATGTCTATATGGTTGTTGTTTATTATTTATATTTTTCGCCTTAAAGGTGAGAATACATAACGCGCTTATTGACTGGCTTCTTGACAAAGCCATTCAAAAAGATTTTTTATGTATTATCACCTTAAATAATGTTTGGCGTAATAAGGCTTTAATAATTCCCTTAATTTTACTAATGGTGAAACTTTTTCGATAATATCGGTAGAAAAAATATTAATCGATACTGAGTCAGAAAAATTGAACATCGACAGTGTCGCTAGGTAGTGCTATCGAAGTTTTGTCAACTCTATTCTTCAACCATTCTTTATTTATGTTTCAAGGAAATAAATTGAGCTCGGCGTTTATTTAACAGGATATCATCAAATAACTTCGATATCACACAAAAGGGGGTGTGAATATACACAGAGAATGGATAATCTAGATTTGTATGAAATTCTGGGTGTAACTAAAGACTCATCAGATGCCGAAATAAAAAAGGTAATAGTTTTCATTCATGTAAGACTACTCTTCATTCATATTTTTAGTTAATTTTTTGCTGTGAAATCTTGGAGAAGTGGGTGGTGGAGGCGTTGGAAAAGTACCAGCACTGGTCTGAAAAACGATATGGCTATAGTGCAAACATCAATGCCAATATTAGTGAAGTTGGTCCAATTATTTTCTTAGTCATGTCTAGAATTGCTCAAGTAATTCTAACATTTCTCATACATTTAAATGAACAAGAGAATCGTAAAAGGAGAAGGGAAAGAGAACAAATTATTGATTCATACATTTCTGCGCTCTCCAAACGTCATTCACTGCAAATGCACCGGGGCTGCTACCACTTTGAACAACACTGTCTCTTGTATCTTAATCTAAATGACCGTTACATTTAAATGCCCACTAATTCGATGTTGTTTTTGTTTAACCATAGAACTACCGCAAACTAGCTAAGGAATTCCATCCAGATAAAAACCCTGATGCTGGCGACAAATTCAAGGAAATATCTTTTGCCTACGAGGTATTATCAGATCCAGAGAAACGAAAAATATACGACCGCTATGGAATCAAGGGTTTGCAGGAGGGCGCGGATGGCTTCGCCGATGGAAATGCGTTCTTTTCACAATGGTTTCCCTTTACGGCTATGGGTGGACATGGCCGTGAGGCAAGGGGGAAGGCCGCCCAAATCTCCATTCGTCTTGAAGTTACTTTGGAAGAAATGTACAATGGCAATGTGGCCAAGACAGTTGAATACAAAAGGACATCATTTTGCTCGCAGTGCAATGGCGAAGGCGGTCCCAAGGAGTGCCAAGAAATGTGCAGTCACTGCAATGGTCGGGGCAGAACTGAGAGCTATCTTTTTCTCGGTGTTACGACAGGGGAAACGGTAAATAAAAAGTCAACAAATTCGAATACTAAGCAATTTTGTGTAATTCTCTGCAATAGATCTGTACGGCTTGCCATGGACATGGAAAAATTATACCAGAGGCTATGCGCTGCACCAGCTGCTTTGGAAAAGGTTTAGTTGAGGAGAATGTGAAACGGGAAATTGTTATTGAAAAGGGTGCCCCTAATATGTTAAAAATACCATTTGTAAGCGAAGGAAATCAAGGGGTGCAAGGATCGCGAGGCGACATGGTTGTAGTACTTATCCAAGCAGAGCATCCTGTATTCGAGCGGCGCCAAAACGATCTTCTTATGCGTAATGTCAACATCAACATAACGCAGGCCCTTTGTGGTTTTGTCCACTGCTTCAAGCATCTGGATGGTCGTAACATTTGTATTTCCACGAAACCAGGCGAGGTTCTACGTCATGGCGAACTGAAAGTTGTACCGACTGAGGGCATGCCATTGCGTAATAATCCCTTTGATCGTGGCGACCTCATGGTACAGTTTTCTATACAATTTCCCGAAAACGATTTTGCCACACCAGAACAATTGGCCAAGCTTGAGACGCTACTGCCTCCCAGAGAACCTTTTACAATGCCGCCAGAAGCCGAAGAAGTGCAACTTGTTGAATTCCAGCCCCGCGAAGATTACGAAGGCCGGGGAGCTTACGGCGGCATGGACGATGATGACGAATACGAGGGCGGTCCACACTTCGAAAGGGTCCAATGTCAAACCGGCTAAAAAAATACAACAACAGAACAATTGCGGCGCATATGTACAGTCAAATTGTATAATGTGTTTGTTATACATCAGTTAGCTATACAAAAATTTATTGTTAATTTGGTTTATGGACAAAAGAAAACAATTCTAATCTAATTGGTGTAACTGTCGTTGAACGCAACTATTGTATTGTAACAAAAAAACAACAAGAAACGCTTCGAAAGCTTTCAAAGCTTTTCTCATTATCATTTTGTACTCAGAGATGAGCTCTCGCTTCCTTAAATAACCTACTAATCCATCTATACCTATA